AGATATAGAATTGGTCTTCGGTGCTCTGCGAAGCTGCCATGAATGTCTAGCTTGTGAAATAAAGGCAGTTCATACTCAAAAGGAAAACAGCCACCGATGATGATTCTTTATCTTGCATTAGTTTAAGCTTGTTTGACAGAAGTACTTTGATTTTGGGGGGGTTCATTTAAAATAATGACTTTGAATTTAGCACTTAGACAAAGATGTGTTATTTGACAACTGAGTTGAAAATCTCTTTGGCAACTCCACACATTCCAGAGCAATATGGATCTCCTCACTACTGACAAAGGCATTCCTCAGAAGAACAGCTTGTTTATTATGTAAAGCCTTCACAATCAGGCAGTGTAAACTACACTTCAAAAAGATCAATAATCTAGTTTTGAATGTTTAAGGGAAGTTATGAAAGCCCTGCTATCCAAGCAATTCTGACAATCACAGTCCTGATTTAAGTTTGACAATCTCATTGAAATAGGTGGACGGATAGTATGGTGTAAACGGATTAAAGTCACCATGAAATCAAAACAATCCTTGTTTTTTTTTATGGAATATTGTAATATCCATGCAATTCATTTTTTTTTTTTTCACTCATGTGCTCTTATAATCTCGAATCAAAATAACTTCCCCTTCCTCTTGCAGTGACATCTCTTCTCTGATGACGAGGGCGGGGCAACCGGTCACTCACATGAGATCAACCAATAGCAAACCACATCTATCCAAACATTCAATCAATTCTCTATCGACAAAATAAAGTCCTGTCTATAGCTGGATGGTGTACTGAGTTTGTACGATATATTGATAATATATTATCTTATAAACGATATATGTAATGAGGGAATACCGTTTATATCAATGATATGAGCACATCTGAAAAATGATGGGGGAAAGTGCATAATCAAATTTGTTTTAAACATGAGCCATGCTTTATATTAAAGGCATCACAATAAGTGGTAAGATAACACGTATATTTTAAAGAAGCTTGCCCCATCAGACGCTGACTGACAGATACATGCGCTGTTTAATGCATTTGAGATGTATTTCTCAATATTCTTGAATATTCTCCATTTGTTAATGTTAGAAAGTCATGCAAATAATTCCATATTGAATTTTCAGCATCATTACTTCAATCTTCAGTGTTGCATGATCCTTCAGAAATCATTTTAATATTTTGATTTGCTGCTAAGTTTTTTAATACTGGTGCTTAACTGTTAATATTTCTTATTATCATGGATAATATTATAACGTAAAACATTTTTTCAGGATTCTTTGAAAGTTCAAAGAACTGCATATTTAAATCATAAATATTATACAGACATTGTAAATGTCTTTACTGTCACTTGATCAATTTATAAATAATTGCGAACAGCAACAACAAGGCTGTTAAATTCTTAAATTTTACAATAGGTCCAGAGCCATAGAGATACAATAACTAGTAGTCTAGTTGTATAGTTATAGTACTAGTATGGTAACACAACTATCTCTAAATGGCTAGGCCTGCTTACCCTGAACTTTTGAATGGTAACTTGTTGGTTTCCACAACTTGAGTTGAACTATTTTCAACTCGCTTTGTATTGTTACAATACCATCAGTGTGTAAATGAACTAAGTTTAATCGTTCTATTTAACAGTTATTAGGCTAACTGAACCAATAAATCCACGTTAATTTGTCAGCAAAAGTTATGTTTAATTTTGACAGAGCTCCAGCATTTGTGGAAAACTAGATAATTTCAGATTTTTAGGCCAGATTTAGCAGGCCATTAACATAACAAATTATTGTTAGGTTTATCACCAAAAATGTAATCATTTGAACAGCATTATGGCAAAAATGGAACACTATGACAACAGTTTTTCTTACCTGTAGCAATAATAGCATACATGACGGCGTTTGCCTCGGGGGTTGGGCGGAAAACCAGAACGCAAGTTTCTGTTTGGCCTCAGGGTACGTTTACTCATCAACGATATTTGCTAAAAAAGGAGAAGTTTTTCGTGTAGCCTTCAGGCGACACCATTGGCATTGTCAAAACGATCCTCATTCACACGGATCCGCGCGAAAATGAAAACGCTGCTACCAGGCAATGGCGATGAAACATGTATTCATGAATGGGTGAATGTGAGGCAAAAGTACAAAGCGGTTTGGTGGCCATTGGGTCTGTGAAAACGCTATATAAATGCGGTCCATTTACCATTTTTACCATTTACCAAATACTATCTTAAAACAATTAACACGCATGTGCATGACGTCATAATTTTCGCAGATTTTTTGTTTACACAAAGACCATTTTCAAAAACTTGCACGTTGAAACCCGTCTTCTAGTTGGCTTTTTTTCAGCCAGACAAACCTGTTGTCATGTTTGAATGGCCAAAATGCAAAAAAATAAAATAAAAATAAAAGGTTTATGGTGGTGAACAGCTCCTAAAACAACACTGTGCTCCTGGGCCCGTATCCCTAAAGATTCTGAGAATCCTCTCAGAGAGCTCCTTAACCTAAAAATTCCTTGCCAGGAGTTTTAGCTTGGAACATTTTCAGTGAACTCTGAGCAAGGAATGAATGGAAAATCAGATCTTAGTGTTGCTAGGTATGAGTCATCATTTCAAAAGCCGTGGTTGACCCTACAAGTTTGATGAAAATGAACTTTTGGTGATAATGAGCAAAGGATGTACCCTCAAATCAATAAACATAATTATACACTCTAATCTCATGCAGACTGTAATTGTAAATAATATTTCACATTCAAGAAAATATCTGGAAAATGAATAGTAAGCTGTAGGGGTTATAGCCTAACATTAGAATCTAAAATATGTGAAAACATAAGCTCAAAACACCCAGTTCAAATAATGATTCGTGTCTTATTTGCTCATTAATATCCTAGCTGGCATATTTTGTACTTTCACTCCCATATGGGACCCCATTGAAAACAAGATGGCCTATCTCAAGGGGCTGTCCTTAATGAAGTACAAAATTGCAATGTTACAATTCAGTCTGGTTATGATTCTTGCACGACCCAATCTGTAACGTCTCAATAATTCCCTGTCATCCAGTGTTTGCAGGACATTTTGTGCAGCTGCTTAGGGGAACTCCTGAGCCACTAAAAGTCCTCTTCCCTCTGCTCTTAGCAGATCTTCGCCTTGGGAGCCTTTTTTTTTAAGCGCTTGCGGAATAGCTTTTATATTAACTGGGATTTTCATGTCAGTTTTAGGGGAAATTTTAAGAAAACGTCATGACTCTGAGAATATTCTTAGATTTTGTCGCTTGGAGCTATTTTTGCACAATAATTCTTTAGGGATACGGGCCCTGGTCTGTACGCTATCTCACGACCAATTCGTACGAGTGATTCAAAAGTGGCTAATTCGTACTAATTCATACGACGTACGAATTTGTACGATTTGTCTAAACCCACGTGATGGTTATGTTTAGGGGCGGGGTCAGGGGTAGGTCATTCGTATGAATTCATACGAATTGTCTAATTCGTAAAATATGTACGATTTAGCAAAATCTTACTAATTCGTACGAGTGAGGTCGTACAAATTGTTACGAATTAGCCACCTCGTAAAATTTGTACGAATTCCCGTGAGATCGGGTTTTTGATTCTCTACCTCCTTTAGCGTAACCCAGTGAACCCTTCACTGGAAACCACAATTCTTGCACCCGGCCACAATACCTGTTGACACCACTAGTTTGCTAAGAAGTATTTCCTACTTTTGACTCACATGTGGTGGGTGTGCTTTTTTGCTGTGAAGTACCCTTTTAAACAGCAAAAACTGTTCTCAACATTGATATTAGAAATAATTTTTGAGCAGCAAATGGGAATATTAGAACAATTTTGGAAGGATTTCTGAAAACCTTCACTGAGGCGACAGCACATCTAGAGGAAAGGTAAACAAACAGTGTAAGGGAACTCTGTGTTTGTTTGGAAGATGAGGGGAATGATTGTGTCACTCTGATGTGTGTGTTCAACACAAGGTTAGGCAGACCATATTCTGTTTTGGGTGTGTATGTTTACCCCCCTAATCAGTGAAAAGTGTGTGTGTGTGTGTGTTAATCTACTTTCCTGGAGGCTGAGGAAGTCCATATAATCACCTATAAAATGGTCTTGCTAAGTAGACTGTGTTGAAAATTAGACACTTGTGTAAGATCAGGCTTGTGTTGTGTGGTCCTCTTATAAAATGTGATTTCATTTAAAGTTGTTTGAAACAAAGCACGCTAAAACTATAATGATAAAAATCTGATTTGCCTGTATAGACATTTAACAGAGACACTTAAATCAACAAGTTTCTCGTAGAACAGAAAGAGCAAAATACAGGGTTGTTATTCAACCATTTAAAACCATCTGTTGATAATATGAAAACATTTTCACACAAATTCACTGACTAAAAGTCCAAGTCAAATTGCCCCAAATTTCAAAGAAAAATAAAATATTACATTTTTCACCATTTGATTTGTGACATTTGCATGATAATAAACCAGAAATTTACTATTTACATTAATACAAAACAACAAACGTCTCAATCCTGTCAGGACATAATGACTGAATTATTTTTATTGCATAATGTAAAAAATAAATACTACCATACTTACAATTGTCTTTTGAAAATTTAAATACTATATACGTGTTTATTTTTCACATTGCAGTATTGATCATTTTGAAAGAGGCATGTGTGTCATTTTCTTATACAATATTTGGTTACACTTAATTTTACGGTGACATTTATATTGTACTTAAGTAAATTTGGAGTGATATGTACTTATGGTTAGGGTTTGGTTTAGGGTTAATTTCTTGTATTTGTGCATAATTTACTATAGTAAGTATGTGTAGTAACGTGTAACTACGTGACCTTAAAATAAAGTGTTACCTAATATAGTCATCGTATCAATTTTTCTTTTTGGGGTGAAATACGATCTGGACATTTCTTGAGAGATTCATCCATAAAGATTTCTGTAAAATCTAACATAAATAAAAGCACTGAACAAACATAATGGCAGTCAAAAATATATAATTTAAAAAAAAAAACATGTCCCTTTGTTTCCATGATTTTTTTTTTCAACAAAAATCTATAGATTGGCATTTTGTTGTTCGATTGTAACAGCCTTACAAAAAAATAAATAAGGAAATATTGGTTCTCATCAAATGAAGGATGAAAATGTGTTTGATTTCCTCAAAAAAACAACTTTCAAACTCAAAGAAGGAATTCCAGCAACAGGAGTGACTTGAGCTAAAGTTCCTCTGAACATTAATCATGTGACTCTCTGTTCGAAAACACATACATCCTTTTCCCAGGCCGACCTGAAGCAACACAGATCCTATAATGGGAAACAGGTCCTCCAAAACGGATGGATGTGTAAACATGAGGCCTACACAGACGTGATGGAGTCCTGGAGGATTGTGGGATTGTTTTGGAGGTGGAGGTGAGGGTCACCAGGAGAGGTGGAGATGAGGATGTTGATGTAGTTGAGCTAGTAACTCTTCTTCTGTCGGCTCTTGGACATGCTCTCTGAAAACAGAGGATTTAGTCAGATATTTGAACAACACTCTTACCAACCTATCACTTTTCTCTCACTTTCATTACCGTAAAACTTCAAATAATAGCCGAGTCCCGAATTAGATGCCTGTCTCTTTTGGACGCCTGATGTGGCTGCAGGTTTGGGTAAATAAAAGCCGATCTCAAATAGAGGCCGGGTCTGTTTTTCAGTTTCGGGTTGTTAAATCTTCGCCAAAGCACATTTTTGTCCCGTCAAAGCCTATTTTGATCGGTGAGTGATGTAGTGAATGTGATCGGTGAATTCGAATAACGAGCAGAGAGAGAGAGAGAGAGAGCGCGCTGTCTTGCTTTCTCTCCCTTGCAGTTTGCAAAAAACTACAGTTTGCTAGGCCAAAAAAAATTAAAGTAGTTCACTTTTAAGAAAACTTTTGCTGATAATTTACTCACCCCCATGTCATCCAAGATGTCCTCGTCTTTCTTTCTTCAGTCGAAAAGAAATTAAGGTTTTTGATTAAAACATTCCAGGATTTTTCTCCATATAATGGACTTCAATGGGAACCAAACGGTTCAAGGTCCAAAAGACAGTTTCAGTGCAAACTGCAAACTGTTCAAAGGGCTTTAAACGATTCCAGACGATGAGTAAGGGTCTTATCAAGCGAAACGATCGGCCATTTAAAAGAAAAATAACATAGTTTAAGTTTTATAAGCTCTAATGCTCTGTTCTGTGATGCGCGTTCGTGACTCTCCTATTCGAACTTGTTTATCAAAATGAACAAATCTTTTCCTGAGTCAACTCGTTCATTTCGTTCGTTGAATGAACCAAATGACATGAAAAAATATTCGTTCATTTTGATAAACGAGTTCGAACAGGAGAGTCACACAGAGTATTTGAGCTTATAAAACTTAAACTTTGTAATTAAAAAAAAAAAAAATAAGTGATTGTTTCGCTTGATAAGACCCTTATTCATCGTCTGGAATCGTTTAAAGCCCTTTGAACAGTTTGCAGTTTGCAATGAAACTCTCATTTGGACCTTGAACCGTTTGGTTCCCATTGAAGTCCATTATATGGAGAAAAATCCTGGAATGTTTTCATCAAAAACCTTAATTTCTTTTCGACTGAAGAAAGAAAGACATGGACATCTTGGATGACATGGGGGTGAGGAAATTATCAGCAAAAGTTTTTTTTTTAAAGTGAACTACTCCTTTAACGCCGTTAATAACGCATTTAACTGACGAGTGACGAGTAACTGCGTGAGCTTAAAGTGTTACTGGGAACTTATCTTACCTGAACATAAGCTGTACAGTGCTTTGATAGGCGATTCTCTCCACTTCCTCAACAGACATAGTATTACTGCGGTCCCACTTATAGGTGAAGTTCTGAACACAGGAACAAAAACACACACAAGGTTAACTCACATGCTTACAAACAGATTTATTAACCTGTCAAGAAAAGGTCAGACTTTACGGATTCAGTTCAGGATCTCAGTATGACAAACAGTAATGCTATGTAAAAAGGTGTGCTTCCAACACTACATTAAAGGTTAAGGTTAAGGGTTAGTATTTGACCCTATTTATATAGCCCTATTTCAGTGTTGTGTTGGTAGTTAGCACTGTGCACTTCACTAAAACAAATCAAGCTATTGAGATATGTTCAGTAGTTCATCAGATTTCAGTCTTAATAACAGTGCTATATTTTTATATATATATATATATATATATGTGCATGTGATGAAATCACAATAAGACCAGGAAAGTATATGGCCGATCTTGAATGATTTAAACAAAACAATCTACATACCTCCAAAATGAGTGCCACAAACAGGTTGACCCACATGACTGAAGATATTATCCACCAGGCCACAAAGTAGACCAAAGACCACCTGACATGGAAGAGTTATGGGTACAAATTTACAAAATCCTGCCCAACCAAAGCAACCAAATATGTTAAAGATTCGGAGTGTGTGTACTTGTGTACCAAACTAACAGGGGACCATTGTGCGATAGCAGTTCAATTGCTTTTACATTTAAAATGATCTTGCGTTTTGTCTATCTTTGAATGTAATGGCAATGCTAAAAAAATGTGATAATGGACAATAACACCGACAAGAATTGTAATGACATTACATTTTAAATACATTGACATCCCCTCTTTGCAGATATACCAGCTTCTACTCTAATGGGAGGGCTTTCTACAAGATTTTAGAGTGTTTCTGTGGGGATTTTGCAGATTCATTCATATTTGTGAGGTCAGACACAGATGTTGGACGTAACACAGTCTCATCCCAAAAAGTCATATAACTGACGTTTTGGGACGTATTTTGCCCATACGTCAATATCCGCCTTTTTAGGGCCCTCTTAAACGTCGGTAGATGGCGATCCCGGGCCGTCATACAACTGACGCTTTACCTTTAACGTCAGTTAGGTGACGGGGTAGGTTTAGGTATGGGGTAGAGTTAGGATCCCATAACCTCATCTACCGACGTTTAAGGGGGCCCTAAAAAGGCGAATATTGACGTATGGTCAAAAGACGTCCCAAAACGTCAGTTATATGACGTCTTGGGATGAGACCGGGTTGTTGGACGAGAAGTCTTGGCTCGCAATCTCTGCTCCTTTAAAGCTGGCACAATTAATTCTTAATGACATTAGCTTTTTTTGCTCACCAGCCACTGTAGCTAATGGTTTTTAAAGTTACTAACCACTCAGCATTCAACTAATCTTTTTTCGAGTCATTTGGTTCGTTCAATGAACGAAATGAACGAAATGACTCGTTCATTTTGATGAACGAGTTCGAACAGGAGAGTCACGAACGTGCATCACAGAACAGAGCAAGAAGAGCATTTGTGCTTATGCAACTTAAAGTTTTTTATTTATTCTTGAAATGACCGCTCGTTTCGCTAGATAAGACCCTTATTCATCATCTGGTGTCGTTTAAAGCCTTTTGAAGCTGCACTGAAACTCTCATTTGGACCTTGAACCGTTTGGTTCCCATTGAAGTCCACTATATGGAGAAAAATCCTGGAATGTTTTCATCAAAAACCTTAATTTCTTTTCGACTGAAGAAAGAAAGACATGGACATCTTGGATGACATGGGGGTGAGTAAATTATCAGCAAAGTTTTTTTTTTTAAATGAACTACTCCTTTAATATCGCATAAATTGGCAGCAGGAATATTATGCTGCTGTCACTTTAAGACTTGATGCCAGGATCCATTATACTGTTACTCTTGCGGGGTTTTTTTTTCTCAACTGTTTTCTTTCACTTAAAACATTGTTTATATGAATAAATATTCATCTTTACATTATTTTGAGTGTATTTGACTGTCTAAGCGCGATACGCAGCGAAAAAGATGCCGCACTTTTTGTGTCTGTGAGCATAAAGTCTATGGAAATGAGTAAAATTATGTCCAATCCCACAATGAAATTCAAGCCCTGCAACACCACCAACATTCATCGGGAACAAAAGAAACGAGCGAGTGAGGAGAGGCGGGTTTGTGTGTCACTCGCTGTTGGAGAAAATTAGTATTGGAAGCGTTTCAGATATATTCAGTATAGATACGAATCGAAAAATCAATATTTTGACAACACTATATTGCACTTAGTTTATTCAGATGCCTTTTTAAAAGACTACAAGACTACAAATTGAAATAAATAAATAAATATATATATATATATATATATATAATTAATTCAACCCGTCAAAGGTCAAACATCCATTCTTGGTCAATGTCTAATGAGGGTCCCCTGTTAGTAATATTGGCATGTATATGTTTGTGTGTTTGTATCTTACTCTGTAGTGTATCTGGTGTATGCATCTGTGAAAACATGCCAGTTATTCACCACCATGATGTTATAGAGCAGGACCAGAGAGGACTGGAAAAAAATGTAACACGAAGAAAACAGAGTTAAATTTATTTTACATCATTTTCGAATTTAAAAAATGTTTTCCTTAATTTTATGAAAGCTTAAAAATATATATATTTATATAAAGAACAAAACAGAAATAGATTGTCGCTGTCGGGCAGAAACCTTCTCCAAAAACAAATAATCAAACAAAGCATTGTCCAAATTGATTTTGTGGCTTAATACATGCTCAGACACTTGCATGTGTCACTATTGTATTAACATTTTACCCAAATCATGCTCAAAGAGACACGGCACTTCATTAAAGTTTGAGGCGAGTGGAATAATGAGGATTTACTGACAGTTTGAGGATCCAATGAAGTTACAAGGTTTACTCACAAGCTCTTTTCACTGGTTAGACTTTGAGGAAAATGGTGACCAATGGTAACGATTTATTAAATTTGGTGAAATGATTGCAATTTGGTCAAATCCATTGACTATTTCTTCCACATAAGTGCTCATTTTAGCATTCTGGGAACTTGTTAGAAACCTATTCGAATATGTATGACCCACGTGGGTGTCATGGGAGGCTGAGATTGCTGTGCAACTTACAGCAAAATCATCAAAATTGTTTGGCCAGTACTCCAGCTGTTCAAAAGTGCCACAATCCATGCTGTAAGGACCCGTGTTGTTCTCCATGCTTGAGTTCAGACTGAAAGGAGAGCACAGAGAGAAAGAGAGAGAGAGAGAGAGAGAGAGAGAGAGAGAGAGAAAGCTTTTAGAGCTGTCAACAAGAATTTACACAAATATAGCAACACATAACTAATTACTCTACTGGTCAAAGCCAGAGTTTTCAGCATCATTACGTCTTATGATCCTTCAGAAGTCATTCTTGGTGTTTTTTATTATTAGTTCTAATTTGACCCAAACTTTTGAAAGGCAGTGTATCACAAAAAAAAAAAAAAAAAAATCCAGTAAAAACAAAAAAGATAATAATCAGAAATGTTTCGTTAGCAGCAAATCATAATATTATAATGATTTCTGAAGGATCATGTGACACTGAAGACTGGAGTAATGAATGATGCAAATGAATTCAGCTTTGATCGCAGGAATAAATTACATTTTTAAAATATATTCAAATAGTAAATTCTTTCAAATCGCAATTTTACAGTATTTCACAATATTACTTTTTTTTTACTGTATTTTTCATCAAATAAATGCAGAAACGTCTTTCAAAACGTTGCCATCAAAGGAATAAAGTAAAATTTAAAATATTATAAAATATATTAAATTCTAAAATGTTCAAATAGAAAACCATTGTTTTTAATTTCTAATAATATTTCACAATATTACCTTTTTTACTGTATTTTTCATCAAATAAATGCAGAGACGTCTTTCAAAACGTTGCCATCAAAGGAATAAAGTAAAATTTAAAATATTATAAAATATATTAAATTCTAAAATGTTCAAATAGAAAACCATTATTTTTAATTTCTAATAATATTTCACAATATTACTTTTTTTACTGTATTTTTCATCAAATAAATGCAGAGACGTCTTTTAAAACGTTGCCATCAAAGGAATAAAGTAAAATTTAAAATATTATAAAATATATTAAATTCTAAAATGTTCAAATAGAAAACCATTATTTTTAATTTCTAATAATATTTCACAATTTTACCTTTTTTACTGTATTTTTCATCAAATAAATGCAGAGACGTCTTTCAAAATGTTGCCATCAAAGGAATAAAGTAAAATTTAAAATATTATAAAATATATTAAATTCTAAAATATTCAATTAGAAAACCATTATTTTTAATTTCTAATAATATTTCACAATATTACTTTTTACTGTATTTTTGATCAAATAAATGCAGACTTGTTGCATATAAGAGACTGTTTTCCCCAAATGTTTTACCAGTAATATTGAGATATGTTTGTGTTAAATGTGCAGTTTATGTACAGTACCTCGTGTTTGGCGGAGGGGTTATAGCTCCCTGGAAAAGCCAGATACCAAGAACTGCAAACACATAGTACACCACCTGCATCAGAGACAACATGTGTACAGGTGAAAAGACTATCCTCATTATTAATGATACAACAGCATGTGACACTGTAAAAGGAGTCCGCTCACTCACCAACAAAATGCCAGCAAATGCCCGCAAGTTCTTCACCAGGTCCACGAGAGTGCTGGCCACCACAGCCATCAACTAAAGCGCAAAGATTAAGCAATTATTAGTGCACTTGATTCATGTCAGATGACAATTTGGGATGGTGGAAGACCATTTATGAATATATAAATGGTCTTCCACTAATGAAATATGATCCAATACTCAGGAAATCCAATCCAATACTCATGAAAATGAGTATTTCAAAAGTATATTTTAACCTACATTACACTAGTATAATATAGGAAAATTAAAATACTTTTGTCCTAATTTCTTCACTTGCAAGAAATAAACCCTTGAGCTTTTATTTAGGAGAAAACACCAGATGATCGCCAGAGCAAAGTAATCACGCAGAACAAACTGGATGCTATTCTAATGTCAGTTATTATAATGGCGCAACGCCATATATCATGGTTTCAATTTTAGTTCGTTGGCAAAATATAACGCTAGAGACCTTAATGTTAGGTTTTACATTTTACATCTTTACATATGTGTTGGGAAAAGGGAGAAGAGAAAGTTCGGCAAAAGGCGGATTCGAACTCGCGTTCAGCGCATCAAAAAGCTGTTTTCAAGTACTTCACGCCCTACGACCGCCGTTTCAAGACGGGCGTTGTTTTGCTGTAAAAAAAGGCACTTAGTGCAAATATATGCTCCGTTATAGAAAATGTAAAAAAAATAAAAAAAAATAAAAAAAAAACGTTTTCTTCCCTTAGCTTGGGCCATGGCGAACTTCCAATAAATACATTTTATCAGACCGGCCCTCGCCGCCTCGAAACACTACCGGCCCACCGGGAAAACTCCCGACTCTCCCGATTGCCACTCCGCTACTGCTGACAGCCCTAATAATTTGTTTATGTTTTTTGGTCGGTAATAAACAAAGTAATATTTTGCTTTTAACGGTGATCTGCTAGAAACACTTAAAAAAACTAAAAAAGAAATGCAATGGTGTAAGGGTGTTCAACCACAGCTGTAATATCAGCTTGTAGAAGCAAGGTGTTTAATGCGAGTAGCCGGTCACCAACCTTGATTTCTGGAATTATCCTGAGGAAACGGAAAACAATCAACATGTTGACCAATCGCACCATCTCCCACAAAGCCATTACCCGGTGTGGAACCGGATCCCTGTCAAAATGAGAGGAAAACATCAGATCAAGGCGTTTATTTTTTAAAGTGATCTTATGATTATAAATTCCACACACTCACACTTCCTCAGAGGGCGTCCTGTATGTGATTAATATGGCAATCTGAAGAGCCTGTTGAGGATAAAAGAAGTGACTCCAGTGATTGCATGCATGCAGAAATTCAAGGATTATTATACATAGAATTAAATTACCAGCAAAAGAACAGTGAGAAATCCATCAAAAATGTTATTCCTGAAAGACAGGTAACCTCTCCAACCAAAAGCCACTATTTTCAGAAGCATCTCAATTAAATAGTACAGGATGAAAGCGCAGTTGATGATCTAGAAGACAGAAAAGATATTCGCATTAAAATTCATTGAACCACACTCAAAATTCAGAAAACACAATAAATCAACTATTGCTAAAAAATTAAAAGCACCAGCCAAAAGGATTTGATTTAACGTTTTAAAGCAGACAATAAACTTTCATTATTGCAGCAGCATAAATAGTTTTCAATGCATGAGACGGTCACCTCCATATAGAAGTAATTCCTCTCCGAGGCGGATTTCTCTGAATTCAGAACCAAGACGGTCTGCAGAAAAACAACAGATGAACTTCAACAACCAAGAGCACGGTTTGTGTTCAGTATACAGGATGGACTACTGTAGTCTTTTCAGTAGCTATTGTTATGAGTTTTTTTTAATGCATAAACTAACCACAAGATGGCACCATTCACAAAGAAACGTCAACAAAGATTCTGTAAGGTATACTTTACCCTTGAGATTTCAAATAATGTTCTAATCTTTGAATAAATAAAATGAATAATACAATTATTTAGCTATTTTGATGCAAGTTTTAAATTATTCAGAAATAATTTATGGAAATAATTTATATTTCTAGTAGGGCTGTGCAAAAGTTAATTGTGATTAATCGCATCCAAAATAAAAGTCTGTGTTTACATAATATTTTTGTGTGTGCTGTATATAATTATTTTGTATATATAAATACACACACATGCATTTATATATTTAAGAATTATTTGCGCTTAAATATAAATACATAATCTATATTATATAAATATTTTATAGAATAATACATTTTCTTAAATATATACATGCATGTGTTTGTATTTATATACACAAAATAATTACATACAGCACACACAAATATATAATGTAAACACAGACTTTTATTTTGGATGCGATTAATCGCAATTAATTTTTGCACAGCCCTAATTTCTAGATTTCAATATGCCCCCTGTTTGTATTAAAGAATTACAGTAAAAACATATATTTTCTAATTTGTATTTCAAATTACAAAATATGTGTTTTTACTATATAATGTATATTATGTGCTATATTATGTGTTACTATATTACTATAAAATGTGTTTTTACTATGTTATGTACTATATTATGTGTTACTATATTACTATAAAATATGTGTGTTTACTATATTAGAAAATGTGTTTTATTTGTACTTTCTAATTTGTATTTCAAATATTGTTCCAATCTTTGAATAAATAAAATAAATAATACAATTATTTAGCTATTTTGATGCAGGTTTTAAATTATTTAGAAATAATTTATGGAAATAATTTATATTTCTAGATTTCAATATGTCCCCTGTTTGTATTACAAAATTACAGTAAAAACACATATTTTCTCATTTGTAATTTAATTTAATTCGCCATTTCTATCACGAGATCTATCCCCTTGCAGCTCCATCATGAACCACTGGGTGGGGAAAAATAATTTGGGAAAAGCGTGTTTTAATGGACTGAATTCTGGAATTGTATGTGATGTTCTTTATGCATGGGTAATGTGATAATTAAAGCAAGTGAAAAGCAAATAAGGCTTCTTACACAGATACAGATGACATTGGCCAGAGCGACAGCGTTTCCCAGCACTGTAACGTAAAAGTGGCTGAAGATATACTGGATATGCTGCAGGGCAGGAGAACTGTACTCTGGCTTTGCTGGATGCTGCAGGGAAAACACACAAATACAACACTTCATGACATCAGAACATTAAAACCAGAGTGAATACTCATTTCCAATTACAGGATACAGAACTGACATTTATATTTCAATCCAAGGAAGTAAAATTCAAAGCAACTCTGCTGTGAGTGCAGTTTAAATATTATACTCTATTGTCCAAATGACTTTTAATTTAAAAATGAAAACCCATAAACATGTGCAGCATTTCCTGAAAAAAGGGGTTTATTTAGTTATATTATTGGACTAAATTATTTAATGTAGCCCTCAAACCGTATTCACTTTATAGCCCTTAATCCTGTAATTGTGGACAAATGTGGGCACAGAGGACTCAGGTGTGATCCTAATTTTAAATGTTACATCACTGTCTTCGATAAAGTTTTGTCTATCCATTTTTGGTGTTTTATTTTTATTTTGGGGGTATTTTTGAATTTATTTACGTCAAAAAGTACCATATTTTCTATGTAAATTATGCTTATTTTTTATGTTTTTAATTTTTTAACTGGATTAAAATATCATTCCAATAAGTTCTTAGATCTAAAACCTAAAGATGAAGTGACTTTGATGTCTTATTTTGGCTCATTTTATAATGCTCTAAATTAGTTTTTCCCATTCATTTCTATAGGGTGCCCATTTTTGACCCAAATACAAGATTAAGGAGTTTGTTTTTTCACCCACTTAATATTGTAGAATTGAGTCAAAAAAAAAAATTGTGTGTGTTCAGGAGGCAAACTTAGGAAAAGTAGCCAAGTCTTGTACTGCTCAGATCAAGGGAAATATTTTTTAAAAATACTGTAAATCAAAACTATTTTGCCCACTTTTGTCCAGAATACGGTTTAATTAATAATAATTGATTATATTATTTTTGTAAGTATTTTTTATTATATTTGTTATATGAATGGACCTAATAGCTCATTACTTTCCAGAATCCTTGCATAATCAAGTCAAGTCTCCTTTATTTATATAGCACTTTTAATAATACTGATTGTTTCAAAGCCATAATTTATTATATTAAATATAACTTTTAAGTTATATTGTTTTAAATGTTTTGGCTGTACATCAGATCTAAAATAAAATAGAGTCATTGTCCAGCTTAAGTCAGTTCAGTGTTGATTTATTTCCATAGTAAAAATTATTATTTATTATTTATCTATTCAGCAGCTCTTGAGAAAACAGGGATGTCATCGTCCAGCTTAGTGTCAATGCAGTCAGATCAATAATATTGTTGAATATTAAGTGTCCCCAAAGACATGTTAACTTTAAACAGTTGTATATTCTTGCCCATTTTTGTTGTTGTTTTGGACTAAATAAAATTCCTAATTTCATTTCCATGTAGCTAATTCCTCTTCCTGTCCAAATTACAACACATAACATGTAAGGGAGACTATTCTTAACTTGTGGAGTCTGCCAAACCTGGCTATAAACCATTGTCTAATGATTCAAATACTAATTTAACTGACTGTTAAAAAAGAGAGACTTCCTGTAAGAGTCTGGATTCACACTGTAATATGTCCTGTAGATCACACACCTCTTTCATAAAATCCTTGTCCAGCTCATTAAAGAGCCTCTGGAAGGCCTCGCCATCGATGAAGCCGTCAGGAAACTGCTGAGCAGCCTGAGAGAAACACAACACAGCTCAAACTAACATCCAGTTTACACTATTAAACTATCCTGCAATCTATATTCACCTTAATAATAGCTTGTCTGCAGTAAGACTTCATGTGGACTCTACTCATGACCTGCAGGAACATGTTCACCGCCACTCGCTCCCTGAGCAAACAGGAGCAGTCATGTGATCAGAGAACGGAGTAAGAGTGAATGTGTGCAGAGAATGTCTGTAAGGAAGTGTTCTTACACATGGCCTTCCGACTGAGTGCTGGTGTGTCCTCGTCCCGGACAGCACAACACCTCGAACGCAGCCCGGATACCCAGACGCCTCCTGATTATTGACGTCTGTACTGACATCTACACACAGATCATGCTATCAATAATTAAAGCAAGAGCTGACCATGTCGTCCAAGATGTCCATGTCATTCTTTCCTCAGTCAAAAAGAAATTAAGGTTTTTGATGAATTTTTTTTCCATATAATGGACTTCAATGGGGTCCAAACGGTCCGAATGAGAGTTTCAGTGCAAACTGCAAACTGTTCAAAGGGCTTTAAACGACACCAGACGATGAATAAGGGTCTTATCAAGCTAAACGATTGCTCATTTAAAAAAATAAATAAAGTTTTATAAGCACAAATGCTCACCTTGCTCTGTTCTGTGATGCGACTCTCCTGTTCGAACTCGTTCATCAAAATGAACGAATCTTTTTTCGAGTCAGACGAACGAAATGAACGAAAGATACTTCATTTTGATGAACGAGTTTTGAAATGACCGATCATCTGGTGTCGTTTAAAGCCCTTTGAACCGTTTGGTTCCCATTGAAGTCCATTATATGAAGAAAATCCAGGAATGTTTTCATCAAAAACCTTAATTTCTTTTCGACTGAAGAAAGAATGACATGGACATCTTGGATGACATGGGGGTGAGTAAATTATCAGTAAAAGTTGTTTTTGGTTTTTTTAAAGTGAACTACTCCTTTAACATTCTGTCATCATTTACTAACCCTCATTTTGTAGAAAAGGAGATATTCTGAAGAATGTTTACGCCGCTCAAAATCATATGCCTTCAAAAGAGTTTGTTAAAGTGCTAAAGTTGCATATTTAACGTGCTCAAATTTGGAATATTGCATAAAACATCTGCGAATCCATACCATATGTTCAAGAGAATTGGGAAATTGGTGCAAAATATGAAAGCTGCTGCAATCGGGGAAGAAACCGTCACCGGTGTCACCGAACGTGCAGATGAAACCCAATAAACGCTGTCTTACACTATCTTACGTTTAGATGCCTGATGTTTGTGAACTCAATTGTGTGAGACACTTCCGTGAGGACATTATACCTAATCATTTTGGAGACAAACTTTGGCTCAGGGTTGCCAGGTTTGTGTCAAAACCCACCCAATCATAGCCAAAACTATCACAATTGTGTTTCAGGGGGTAAAAATCTTGAGTGCTGTGGTTCGTGACTTACAAAAATAACCCCTTGGCTCAGGCATTTAAAAATAACCAAACCAACATTTGAGATGCTGTGCAATGTGATTGGTCCACTGGTTAATCCAGTTGTCCAATCACATACTCTGTTGAGGCAAAGTCACATGACTTATTTTTTATTAACCCTCTGGGGTTGTTCGGCCCAAACGGACCCGAAGAATTTGAATAATTTATTTTTTTAAATCACAGCTTTCTCGGAATGGTCAGAAATTTGGTGACTTTGTTGGTATTTGGTATTTGAACACCCCAAAAAATTGGGGACAGTATGTGAGCAGTCTAAGGTGGTTGTAAAAAAAATAGTCACACTTGGGGTGTTCGCGTCCAAATGGACCCGCATGGAAAATGAATGAGAAATTGGCAAAAATGTGAAAATACTGAGTTTTTTTGTGCGTACAATCTACAAATCAGCCACGATCTTGAAAAAAAGCACACAACAGTGAAGGGGTGAATCTATAAAACATCAAGAGTGCAAAACAGACACACACCAAAAAATTCAGATTATACATGTGTTTTGCATTTTTAAAATGCTCAGTTTGTCCACCAAATGGCATCCATCTCATTTCAAAAATTGCTTTTATGAGGCCTAGGCTTGACTCTAAAATGAAATATAGATTTAAAAAAAAATTAAAAAAAATATATTTTTTAAAATATTTTTTCTATTATGTTCAATGGGGGACTAATTATAATTTTTTTTTTTTTTAATTTTCTCAAAACACCAAAAAAGAAAGGAAAAAATATTATAAAAAACGAGTAACAAAAAAAAATCATGATTTTTTTTTTTTAAATATGAATCCCACCCTTTGGGTCCATTTGGACCCGAACACCCCGAGCGTGACTCTGAAACGAACAACCCCAGAGGGTTAAGGGATTTATTCAGTAAATGTGTTTCCATCATATTTTATGTGTGTCTTCTTATCATCCTGCACATCTTGGCATTTCCATCCAGATTTTTTTATGTGATATCCCAAAAATTCAAAAAATTGTTGGAGCTTGGAAATTACATTCAAAATATATTCTGTTCTCCATGGCAGAAAACAGTCATTTGAGTTTAGGAAATAATGACAGAATTAAGAATGAACTGAACTACTCCTAATAAACAAGCCACAAATTCCTAAAAAAAAAACAAAAAAACAATGTAAGATGACGTCACTCACCAGTAAATATCCCCTGAACTGGTTATAAATAATAGCCGTCATTAGATTCATCAACAAATATGTTCCTGGCAGAAGCAATAAAAAAATGTCAATGTTTAATGCAGGTGGAGAGTTATAAAAGTAAGCATTATTTACATTTAGTGCCATAAAACTTACCAAACACACTAAAGAGTATAAAAAATATAGAATATCCACGGTTCAGAGAGTATGCTGGGATCATGACTGTTGAGAGGAAGACATGTTGGGATTACAAGGTTGAAGGACATTTCAAACACAGATACCTGTTACAGTTTAACAGAACGTTGTGACATGTCACAGGACATCGTGTCATGTGATTAAAGCCAATGACTCACAGCTTCTACTGCAATGAGCCAGAAGTGACGGAGAATTCGACACAGCAGTGCCAAAATGTCATCTAAAACTTTACTGAGTCATTCAGAGAGTCGCACCTACTGATAGACTTCAGCAACATTTCCAGCCACATAAAGACGTACCGTCAGGGTTATTGGCGGTGGTGAGCAGCACTAGCAGAGAAGACAGGGCTTTCGGCAGGTTCTTGAAGTATGTTTCCCACTCTCCGTTCTTCGTAGGGTCCTACAGAAACACACAGAATCGGTCAACTGGAGAATTTGCATTGATTATTATTTGTGAGCCAATTTAAAAACTAAATTATTCAAAACATTACGTTTGTTAGATGTTATTAGCATTTTTGATACATTTTTAAAGGGATAGTTCACTTTGAAATTAATTTTTGGTATGGTTTAGCTTTCCTCAAGGGCATCCAAGATGTAGATGTCAATTTTGATATTTTTAGGTCAAATCGTTCTTGTCTATCAGTCATATAATGGAGGTCTATGGTCACCACCTCGTTAATGTAAGTACACATTGATGGCCTAAGACACGAAACACGAGGTTTGTGTGAGAAAATTAACAATATTTATATTGTTTTTACCTCTTGTATCCATGAGTTAATTTTTTTAATCAGATCAACCGTGCAAGAGATCACTTCCGGGGTAATAAGGGTCTTATCAAGCGAAACGATCGCTCATTTAAAAATAATAATAATAACAAAGTTTAAATTTTATAAGCTCAAATGGTCGCCTTGCTTGCACATTCGTGACTCTCCTGTTCGAACTCGTTCATCAAAATGAATGAATCTTTTCCAGAGTCAATTCATTCATTTCGTTCGTTGAATGAACCAAATGACACGGAAAAAAGATTTGTTCATTTTGATGAACGAGTTCGAACAGGAGAGTCACGAACGCGCATCACAGAACAGAGCAATTTGAGCTTGTAAAACATAAACTTTGTTATTTATTTATTAAATGAGCGATCGTTTTGCTTGTTAAGACCCTTATTCATCGTCTGGAATCGTTTAAAGCCCTTTGAACAGTTTGCAGTTTGCACTGAAACTGTCTTTTGGACCTTGAACCGTTTGGTTCCCATTGAAGTCCATTATATGGAGAAAAATCTTGGAATGTTTTTATTAAAAACCTTAATTTCTTTTCGACTGAAGAAAGAATGACATGAACATCTGGGATGACATGGGGGTGAGGAAATTATCAGCAATTTGTTTTTGTTTTTTTTAAGTGAACTACTCCTTTAAGGGACGAGTTATTTGGCAAAGATTATATTTTGTGAACACTTATTACATCTGATTTGGCAAATATCAGCATTCCAATCATGGTGAATATGCAGAGGTGTAATGCCAGGAGTAGGACGACACTGAAAGAAAAAGAGAGAAACACAGAAAGAACACTTTTGGTCAATGTTTACTGGCATTATTTTAAAATTGCAATATTAGAATGAGACACCATCCAAATTGAGAAGTGAAAATAAGTCCCACATGGGGAAACCCACAAACAATAATATATATTTAATTACCTCGCTATTTCTGGAAGAGTCCTTTTGATACATTTTAGAGTTTTCTTCATGAGGGAAGAGTTTTGCAAGAGGAAAAACGGGCGAATCAGTCTCCTGACTCTCAAACTCTGTGGGACAGAATGACAGGGCAATGTAACAATCGGTCCACTGCTGATTGAGTCATTCCTGGGGCAATTCCCAAGACCTGCTCAGTGTTTACTCACTGAAGACTTTAAAGCAGGGGTGTCCAAACTCAGCCCAGGAGGGCCACTGTCCTGTAGAGTTTAGCTCCTGCTTGACTAGCTGGTTCACATGGGTTTAGTGGGGGTTGGAGCTGAACTCTGCAGGACAGTGGCCTTCCAGGGTCAAGATTGGACAGACCTGCATTAAAGGAATAGATCACCCAAAAACGGAAATTTCGTTTAATTTCCCTCATGTCATGTTAATTTGTAAATGAGATTTGAGAGTGACAGTTGAGGGCAAGATTTAAATGACTGAGTGAATTATGAGTTTTCATTTATGGGTTAACTATGCCTTTAAGTGAATGGTGGGCTGTAAAGTATTACTTAAAGGAGCAGTTCATCAAGCTTTTGCTGATATACTCACCGCCATGTCATCCAAGATGTCCACTTCATTCTTTCTTCAGTCGAAAAGAAATTAAGGTTTTTGATGACAACATTCCAGGACTTTTCTCCATATAATGGACTTCATTGGGAACCAAACGGTTCAAGGTCCAAATGAGAGTTTCAGTGCAAACTGCAAACTGTTCAAAGGGCTTTAAACGATTCCAGACGATGAATAAGGGTCTTATCAAGCGAAACGATCGCTCATTTAAAAAAAACCTTGCTAGCCTTGCTCTGGTCTGTGATGTGCATTCATGACTCTCCAGTTCGAACTCATTCATCAAAATGAACGAATGTTTTTCTGAGTCAATTCGTTCGTTGAATGAACCAAATGACACGGAAAAAGATTTGTTCATTTTAATAAAAGAGTTCGAACAGGAGAGTAACGAACGCGCATCACAGAACAGAGCAAGGCGAGCATTTGAGCTTATAAAACTTAAACTTTTTTTTTTTTTTTTTTTAAAGATAAGACCCTTATTCATCGTCTGGTGTCGTTTAAAGCCCTTTGAAGCTGCACTGAAACTTTCATTTGGACCTTGAACCGTTTGGTTCCCATTGAAGTCCATTATATGGAAAAAATCCTGGAATGTTTTCATCAAAAACCTTAATTTCTTTTCGACTGAAGAAAGAAAGACACGGACATCTTGGAGGAGATGGGGGTGAGTAAATTATCAGCAAAAGCTTTTTTTTAAAGTGAACTACTCCTTTGAATGAAATGAAGAAATCAATAATCCATGTATAATTTAAAAAATAAAAAATAAAAAAAATCACACCAAATTGACCAAAATGTTTATTTTATTCATGCTTGAAATACAACAAAAAAATTTAAATCAAACTTTTGATATTACTTAATTGAACGTTATATGGTAAAATAAATTACATAAATAGAATCAGGTGTTCTATTGTCTGTCAAGACACTGAATCGAAAACATTTTATCTTTGCATTTAAAATAAAGTATTTTTTGTGAAAAATCTTCCACTATTATGTGTCCGAGCTCCTCTCCTTGTTTAATTCTAATTAATTAGAATAATCTGAAGATTTTAAACATTTTATTTATTTCTATGACAATAGAGACGGGCAGATCACATTTGGGGACTTTCGATTCAATGATTTACTTTAAACAGGTCTTTTCATCAGTCAATTTGAAGAGTGATTTATGAATAAATTGCTTTGTCACATTTCAATTTATTTTATTTTAAAAATGGCTATCAATATTCAATTAAAAAAAACATGTAATTATTTACAATTTACATTTTTGAATACAGAAATTATTTAATTTTTAAGTGACGCTGATGTGTTAAGAGTTTGGAATCACTACAATATACAAATATACCACAACGCAGGAATCTTGGTGCCTTCTTTGCAGCAGTAAATGTTTGATGTCTCCTTTATTTAACAGCTGAATTAACTCATGTACTCTATGACCTGAGCTAGGTGTGTCCATCCAAAATACACTGTGCCGGGGAGGTTCCAGGAATGGTTTGAAAACTGCTGTTATAGTGTAGGCTAGGCACGATTAATAAGCAGATTTGTACTCACCTCATTGCACATCATGCTAATGCTCAACACCCAATCAATAACTGATGCTGCAATCACTATTACATAACCAATCAGCCATTTGTTCATACGGAACTCCTCCCATCCTATCAGATAGCTCTGCAAAACAAACAATACATTCAATACGTTCCGTATGTCACATTACAAAAACAGTTTAAACAAAAAGGTCAATTTAAAGTCACCATGAAATCAAAATGGACAATTCTTGGTTTTAATGGAATATTGAGTTTTATATATAACTTTTCCCACTCGCAGTGACATCTCTTCTCTGATGACATGTTTAGTGGAGTGAGGGGGCGGGGCAACCTGTCACTCACATGAGATCAACCAATAGCAAACCACAACCATCCAATCAATTCCCCTGGACAAAATCAGCTCCCTCCCTAAATATTTCACTAGGATATAGGCTCAATAGAGAAGAAAAGACTATCGCAACTTCTGTTTCATGCTGACTTTTAGTAGTTCACTTTTAAAAAAGTAACTTTTGCTGACAATTTACTCACCCCCATGTCATCCAAGATGTCCATGTCTTTCTTTCTTCAGTCGAAAAGAAATTAAGGTTTTTGATGAAAACATTACAGGATTTTTCTCCATATAATAGACTTAAATGGGGTCCAAACGGGTCAAGGTCCAAATGAGAGTTTCAGTGCAGCTTCAAAGGGCTTTAAACGATTCCAGACAGTAAATAAGGGTCTAATCTTGCGAAACGATCGGCCATTTCAAAAATAAATAAAAACTTTAAGTTTTATAAGCTCAAATGCTCGCCTTGCTCTGTTCTGTGATGCGCGTTCGTGACTCTTCTGTTCGAACTCGTTCATCAAAATGAACGAATCTTTTTTCGAGTCATTTGGACCATTTCGTTCATTGAATGAATCGAATGACTCAAAAAAAGATTCGTTCATTTTGACGGTCGATCGTTTCGCTAGATAAGACCCTTATTCATCGTCTGGTGTCGTTTAAAGCCCTTTGAAGCTGCACAGAAACTCTCATTTGGACCTTGAACCGTTTGGTTCCCATTGAAGTCCATTATATGGAGAAAAATCCATCAAAAACCTTAATTTCTTTTCAACTGAATAAAGAAAGACACAAGACATGAACTCTGTTAAAGCGATAGTTCACCAAAAATGGAAAAAAGCATCTTGAACATTTTCCTAGGCTACGTTTACACAGTCAGTCCAAATCCGATAATTTGTCTATCCAATTAGAATCTGATCTAAAATGATTACCTGTCCACATTGTGTATCACAACTGTTCAGATCCAATTTGTGTCCCATGCCGCTCTTTCTTTTTCAGAATATCTGTATTGGTTTGTATGGCAGTGACATTGCGCTGGTAGGTATATGCCAAAAACAACTGCAACATGGATGGGTTTGCAATACAGATGTAGTCTTATTTACAACATGACGTGGCGTGAGAAAGTCACATAAACCACACAAAATCCGATCAGAGCAGTCAGACTGAAACGGATTTCCAGAATAATAGGATTTCAAAGTAAACCAAGTGTATGTACACTCTTAGAAGAAATGGTTCTATTTAGAACCAGAAATGGTTCCATCCCTCGCTTCATATATGGAACTCCAAAAAGGTTCTATGTAGCAGTGTTGTAGTCGAGACCACCTCACTCGAGTCCGAGTCGACACCGAGACCAGAGAGAGTCGAGTCCGAGTCAAGACCAAGTCCATAGAGAGTCGAGTCCGAGTCGAGTCCGAGACCAGAGACGGTCGAGTCCGAGTCGAGACCGAGACCAGTGAGGGTTCTTTTTACTGAATTTACTTAAAGTTTAAAAAATATGATCAGTTTAGGGTAAAAAGGCCACATAGTAGGTGGTGTTAAAAGTAATTTTATTACAATTTGTCATGCGCAGTTGCGCACTAGAAAATCACCAATCACTGGGCGTGTCAATCAATTTAAAGAAATATTTTATTAACATACATTAATAATCATGAAAAATATTTTGAATTGAACACGAGTGGACTCGGGAATAATTCCGAGTCCTAAAAAAAAAAATGTTCGAGTACGAGTCAATTCCGAGTCCAAATGGACACGAGTCCATGACAAGACCAAGACCATTAAAATATGGTCTCGAGACCGAGTCCGAGACGAGTCCGAGTCTCGAGTACTACAACACTGCTATGTAGAACCAATTTTTTTGGTAAAAGGTTCTATTGGCCACGTATGGAACCCCAGGGTTCTATATAGAACCCAGAGGAACCCTTTTTTTAAGAGTGTATAGAACCTTTTAGGGGTTCCAAATACCTAACCCTTCTATATAGAACCTTTTCTTCTAAGTGTGTAGCTTGAAACAGATGTGTAAAAATCACATTTGTGCTTGTTTGCCGTGCACACTTGCCAAGTCTGATCAGATTTCAATCGGATATGCAGAAAAATCAGATTTGAACTGACAGTCTGAATGTGTGTCACACACACAATAAAATCAGTCATATGGCTTTGAATGACAAATAATGACAACCTTTTCATTTTTGGGTGAACTATCCGTTTAATGCTCTCCCCGTGGTCAGTTGAATATTTCTGGATTTCTACCTTCACAGTGACGTCTAGGATGAAGATACAAAGGCAGACCATCTCAATCCCCTCCGTCAATCCACAGGGAGGCTCCCAGGGCTTGGGTTTGAAACGAATGTCCGAGGTGTAGGTTAGAGAGGACGGTCTCTCAATGAGGGCCAGTGCCAGTACTACAGCAATAGTGAACCCCAGACCCCTGAGAGAGAGAGAGAGAGGGGGGGGGGATTCAATAACAAATGTGTGTAACTGATAATGACAGATAGAAATATGTTCAAATAACCACATACAGTAAGATGATGTAACTGTACGTACTAGAGCTGTACGATTCTGGATAAATTGAGAATCACTTTTTTTTTGGTATAAATAGAGTTATTCGTTATCGAATTCGTTTTACCTTTTTTGGCGTGCTATCAACATGCATAATCGCTTTTCAGCGTGTTTATGAACGCCGTTGACTTAACGTTGCATTACTGTATCTATAAATGAAGAGTTCAGATGCAAAAGCCTCTAAATGCCATTTGAAATTTTCTTCTTTAATGATGATTTTTATCAAACTTGTATATTTACATTCAGTGATTTCACTTAAATGGCAATGATAATTACCTATTAATTGTTATTTAAGTGAAATTACTGAACTTAAATATACAAGTTTGATAAAAATCATCATTAAAGAAGAAAATTTCAAATGGCATTTAGAGGCTTTTGCATCTGAACTCTTCAAATATATAACCTACCCCAAACCAGTCCCTAAACCTACCCTTTCAAAATGATTAAAAATAGTACTATTGACCAGAAACTTTAAAACAGTAATAATAAAAAAGTAATCTTGAGGGTATCTCCTTAAAAGTAACTCGGGTTAAGTAATCAGATTACTTTTTTACAGTAATGAGTAAAGTAGCATATTACTTTTAAATAAAGAGTTAATTTTTCAAATAAGTAACACAAGTCTAGCATTTATTGACTACTATATAGGCATGAATTCTGAGGCTTATCCATTTCCCTTTTGGAAAAACATATAACAAAAATATAACATTTGTCATTCAACAAATACAACATTCCCAAAAATATGACATTTGTCATTTTTAAAAAGAAACAAGCAACCCCAGCCCAGTTGTGAAAGAGTAACGCAAACGTAAAATAACACATTAATTTCCATAAAAAGTCGCAAAGTAATCCAAATAGTTACTTTTTTAGGGAGTAGCACAATATTGTAACGCATTAGCATTACTCAGTCTTTTAACACAGATCGTTTTGAGTTTATGCCACAGAAGGTGAACTATGATCTGCTGGTACAGTAACTATTGCTGCCATGTGACACATGAAATTAGGGAGAGGATTAAATTTGCATTAAATTTGACAATGGATGCAAGACGAGTCATATATTATTTTTAGGAGTACCAGTCAAACCAGCTGTCCACGTCCATGTCCACGTGCAAAAGATTGTTTTAAAAAAAAAAAAACAAAAAAAAAACTATGTCTGCTTGCTTACCACTGACATATCCTTGAGTAATACCATCTATATAACTGTAAGGACCCAGCATCAACCCTGTGATTGATGGATCGATACTGTGGGAAAAGAGCACACAGGGAAATTAGACAGACAGACATTTAAAAAACATGAAAATGTGGAAAAATAAAAGCAGAAATATTTTTCACCTGAATTGCATCCTCAATAAATACAACTGCCTGCTGGATATAGAGGTCTGAATCTGCATCTGTGTCATAGAAAGAAACAAAAGAGTCATGTGCTTGACTATTAAACTATTTTAGTTGTTGCAAAATAGACCCAAAAGATCGTTTTGCATTTGAGATCCTGTAATATTAAACAAAGTAAAATTATTAAAAGCTCTGTTCTCTCCAGCGAAAGTACAAACATCATTCCTATATACCCTCCATTCACCACTCACAGAACAAAATGTGTGGGGGCCAGTTGCAAAAGCACAGCCAATGTGTTAAAACTGTGTCTTGAAGGTGCAGTGAGTGATTTCTGAGAAACGCTGTTGATATTTGAAATCAACCCAAACAAACACACTCCTCCCTTCATTGCTCCACCCCCCAAAATGCACAAGCGCACAACACAAGAGTGGATGTCTCTTTATCATAGCTGACGCCAAGCAAAATAATGCTTAGCAAAAAAACACAGTGAAAATGACAAGAAACGGACTTTGTTGTTAGTTGCTAACAGCACATCAGCTCCAGAGAAACAAAGACACTCAAAACTGTCCTGTTACTAGAGCTAATAATTATAGCAACAGCATATCTTGGGTCTGTGAAACAGCAAAACCAATGGATACTCACGAAGGGCTGTGAAACGATTAATCGCGATTAATCGCATACTAAATAAAAGTTTGCGTTTTCATAATATATATAATGCATGCAAATGTTTCTTAAATATATACATGCATGTGTGTGTTTATATATATAAAATAATTATACACACTGCACACGCATGCATGTATATATTTAAGAAATATGTGCGTGTATATACAAGCGCAGGACCGATTTATCGGCAGGGCGATATTTAGGCATTTTCCAAAATATCGGTATCGGCAGTTGTAATGGCCGATAAATGAATATTTCAAAAATAAAATAAAAACGGACGAAACACGCTTGAACCATGTCATGAGTGTTGGAGTTGTATAGTTTGTCCACCAGAGGGCACTCTACACCGTTCCTGTTGGCAACACACGTGTATAACGCGCCACACATCCTGCAATCTGCTGATCCAGGTTCCAGGTAGCTTAAAAGGCAACGAGGGGACTAATTATTGTTTTATTTATCAGAACTTTAATATATTTTGATGTTCATCTGTTCTGTTGTAACAATAAAAGAAACAAGATTCTTTTTAAAATGCATTATCATATAATTTTAGATAAAACTCATAAATAACTACAAATAACTAATGTTAGGGAAATCTGTTAATGTTTTGTTGTGTGTTTCTGAAATAATAAAAAAATTAAATAATATCGGCCGATATATCGGATTTTAAAACCAACAAATATTTGTATCGGTATCGGCCTTCAAAATACTTTATCGGTCGGGCTCTAGTATATACAAAATATATGTTTATATATAGCCTAATTTTCTATTATATATAAACATTCTTCTTAAAGATCTTAAATGCATGTGTTCTTATATATACAACATAATAATACACAGTACACACATTTATATTATGTAAACACAAACTTTAATTTTGGACGCGATTAATCGCGATTAATCGTTTCACAGGCCTATACTCGCGTATGAAGCAGAGTATCAACAGGCCATCCCGCTTGGGTCTCTCCAGCACTGGAAGGTTTTTCTAATACTACTAATGCGGGTCCTAAAGCTCTAGTCTGATCATGACCTGATCCTGAGCCTGATCCCCTGACCTTTTCTCTTTTGTAATGTCTACATTTGAAAATGGCATTGAAAATGCCGCAGGACAGGACTGTAGGAAGATTCTACAACAGAAAACACCATGAAAGTAAATAGCAGGCACAACAATGCCGGAATAACCATAGATATTTATGGGTACAATATGCATCACATGACTAAACATGTGTCATCGTTTCACAGTCCAGACTACCTTTTTCAAAAAAGCTTCGTCTTTGTTGACAAAAACGCCATCTCAATGTTTGTGGATGGCCAAAGTGGAGAGAAAGTTATGCTTTTTCAAACTCACTCTCTCTCCTCCCCCATAATTAGTGGACACTGCTGATTGGCTACAAAAGTGTTGTGGCGCTCACTTTTCAACAGCGTTTCTCAGAAATTGCTTACTACACCTTTAAGAACTAACAGTTTGTCCAGGAGTCTCTAATCTTATTTTTTAGATCTACTGTTTTATGTAACTGACTTTACAAAAAATTATGACCAGTCTTGAAGAAAAAAAAAATTAGATGACACTTTTAAGACTTCCATTTTATGCCACAGGTTGGACATTTACTGGATCACCCTGCGTCCAATACCTGCACTCTGAATTTATATACATAATCTAAATGAATGTAGTGTATATCTCAGATTTCAGGTCCTGACAGCACCAATGTCACAGGATATCCAGGAATCTTTTGTCAAACCTGAGCTTTTCAACAGGATATGAGCCAGCAAATCCTAACCATCCTTGAGTGATGATAACACTATTGTGCCCACAGCAAGTTTCATTTGACTTTGTACTGGGTGTATATGAAACCACAGACTAAAACATAGCTCGACACTCAGGATAGCCTGACATAAAGTTTAAGTTTTATATTGCAACATCTCCAGGGTACAAAGAGTACTAAAAATTAAGCTGTTGCCACATGTGTTTAATCTCTGTAATTTGATACATGCTAGAACACAATAACAGCATATTTGAAGTCAAAGTGACCTGAAAGAGCAACTCAGTAAATAAGGAGACAATGGCGTGTTTGTCTGACAGCAAAAACAGAAAGTTAAGGTGAATATGACACCAGCCTGGACAGAAGATATGCCTGAACAATGTTTTATAGTCAGCCAATAGCCCAGGACACTTGTCTCAGGTCATAAACTAAATAAATACATACCTTGCTCCTCACTATCATCAGTGACTGAATATGACAGCCGTCTTGATCTCGATTCTTTATGTTGATGTAGACTATCATGAGATCCATAATCTCCAGAGCTCCGGTTAATGCTGCCCGTGAGCAGCGGTTCTTCTTCCATCGAGACAGTCGCTAATTCTCCAAGTATTACAAATAAATCCCAAACATTGAGTTAAATGTTTCGGTCGTGACGAAGGACAAACCTAAACGAGTCTTCTGCCCATGTTATAGGGTGACACTCTCGACAATAAACATAGTGGAGACGCACTTGGTTTCATTCCCACGGACGTCGGTGTAAAAACAACTCGGACGACCGAGCTAGAAGTGTTTTTAGGAGACGTCAACTCCTCCCATATCCTCTAACGTTAATCTCTCACATAAAACCTTCAGCTCGCTCGTGTCAGACGTTCACAGCACTAGTCGAGTTTCACTTCAACGAATCGGTTCGAATGATTCTTCACAATGAACCAGTTCAAACATTCACTTTGTTCAATCATCACCAAAGCACGTGTTAGTGAAAATGTTGATGTTTATCGCAATGTTTTAATTAGATTTCGCCAAACGCTGACGCATAGTGTGTTCTTAAACGCAAGTGTTTACTTGAGAGCACTTTACTCTACCCTGTTTGCTCGTCTTTAGTCTCGATGGACGCCGGTGGGGACTCAGTGTTGCAGGCTGTCCTTCCTGAGTTCATTTGCGCCTTAACATGATGAGCAAGCGTGGGAATTTACCCACGACTTTTAACAGTTTTAATGCAGCTCTAAGTACGGTTACAGTATATTAATGAGTCACCCTGAAACAATCTTTCTTTCTTCTTATTATAACAACATGAAAAGTGTGTGTACGCTTGCAACTATCTTTAGTGAGGCCTGGTTTAAAGGAGTAGCCTAGTTCGTTAAAAAAAAAAAAAAAAAACCTTTTGCTGATAATTTACTCACCCCCATGTCATCCAAGATGTCCATGTCATTCTTTCTTCAGTCGAAAAGAAATTAAGGTTTTTGATGAAAACATTCCAGGATTTTTCTCCATATAATGGACTTCAATGGGAACCAAACGGTTCAAGGTCCAAAAGACAGTTTCAGTGCAAACTGAACGATTTCATACTATGAATAAACTATAGGAACTATAGATTGCATTGTGCTAATTAATGTGCTTCACAAAGCTGTACAAGAATGTGTGTGAGAGAGAGAGAGATAGAGAGATAATGATAGCAGACCAACACAGAATCAACATTGAATCAAAGTTAATGCATCAACCAAATTACCATTAAATCAATGTTGAAATGTAACACATTTTTAATCATCAGGTTTCCACAGTGAAAGTGTCATTTCAACAATGACAGATAGACATCAAATCAATATTTGTTGAACTTAAAGAATAAATTAGTCATAATTTACTCACCCTCAAGTTGTTTCAACCCTGTATGAGTTGATTTCTTCTGCTAAACACAAAAGAAGATTTTTTGAAGAATGTTCACCAAAGAGTTGATTTACCCCATTGACTTCCATAGTATTTTTTTCTACTATTGAAATCGCTTTTTGAATCAACATAGAAACAATAAAATCAATCTTGCTTTGTGGACAGCAGGATTCTATGCCAGTTAATGGTCTTTTTTATTATCAGAGACCATTTATTACTGTAATTGATGATGCATCAAAGTCACTCAAAGTGAACATCATTCTTCAGTTTACATGCAAATGTATTTATTTATGGCCACACGCTGTTTGAACAGGAAATAACATTACATTCAGAAAGAAAAAAAAATGCAATTTGTGGTGACTTAAATACTATTAAGCACTCGCGTAGCTACGGGTGGGCCTGGATGGGCCTGGGCCCACCCACCTGTCAGTCAGGCCCATCCAGTCAGTGGCCTTACAATGTAGCTGAAGCAGGGAATTCTGTTGCGATTGTCACAATACTTGACTAAAAATAAAAATAATAAAAATAATTATAATAATAAAATAAATCTTAATTTTTCTTGATTCTTGTTTGGTTGTCATGGTGATGACGAAATGCCCGCGCAGTCAGATTGCGAACAGCCCATCCCCCCTTCACAACGACGTACACATTTCACAGAGGGAGACTGAAGTTTAGCTAAGAAGAAGTAACGTTATGTTAAACTAAAATGAAACAGAGCAACTTACTAAAGTTTGTGTCAAAAAGACCACGGCCGCTGCAGGAGGAAAATAATGCAGATGTTCAGGAGCCTCACAGCCATCAGTCTCGAGTAGTAAGGAGCTGCTCTGCTGCTAGAGATTACGTTAATTCAGCAATCTCTCCCTCACCAGCAGCGCTCCATTCTACCTCACCTACACGCCAGTGTACAGGTACATACAGCCATGTCTTAGGATAAGTAATAGGCCTATATACAAATGTGCAATAATTAACACGAATGAATCATGATTTACTATATCAGCGTTATGTACGTTCATTTTTTCAGACTCGGCTAAGCCTAGGGCCAGCACTGTCCTGTTATAAGCTAGTCATCACAAGTAATCTACGTATAGTTGCCGAGTTAATGTTGTTTATTTAACGTGGTTTATGTGGCCGCTGAGCCAGACTATGACCAAGCATTGTTTTTACACACTGTCCTGCTGATTTTATGATGGTGTTGTTTTGCATCTGTCAGATGCGCACGTGTGTGTAGTGTGGGCGGGGTCGCGCGCAGTGAAACTGCTGTTCTTATCGTTATGTTCTTAATACTGCTTATGATGATGACATACATGCTTGTGCTCTGATTAAACTGTGGTGTATTCAAGAAGGTTTAGTTATGTTGGCCTATTTTGATCACAGATGCATTTAGGCTGTGCCCACCTGATTTTCTCTGGGCCCACCTACATTATGATTCCTGGCTACGCTAGTGCTATTAAGTACAGAATATAATAAAATAGATGACTTTTAGAACTGTCTGAATGTCTTAAGCAAATGGCAAAAGAGTCTGGAAAACCATGACAACATCTGGAAAATGGCAGTAAATGCATATGGAAAACTCGCCAACAAAGACAGAAACAATTCAGTATTAAAGACCGCAACATTACTCTGATACTCTGAATAAACTCAGGAGTTTCCACCACAAGCAATGCACCCTGTGTGTGTGTCTGTGTGAATGAGCAGCACTACTGCATGTGTGTATGTGCAGCACCATAGCAAGTGAGTGGGTGAACGAGCAGCACCACTTTGGGTGCGTGTTTGTGTGTGTGTGTGAATGATACCTGCAATAAAGTGTGGTGTGTGTGTGTTAAGTTCAGACCGTTTCACACATAGAAAGAGGAAGTCAATTCTTCTTAAACCCCAAACTCCTCCACATCCGTCTCGTGCTTTCTGCCTCAGTGAATCTCTTTCAAATAGCCCACCTACATTTGCATGCCGTATTTAAAATGTTGGACAAAATATGAAATTTGTATTCTTTAGGCATTTTTGTCCTCAATTTCACTTTCGTATTAGTCTCTTGTAATATCTAAACAAAAAGCCCCGTCAAACACTCTCCAGGAAGTGATATCATTTTTGCTGGGAAAACCATGTGGGTTTGCAATAACAAACATAGTAGCATTAGCGATTTAATGCACTGTACTTGTTGTCTCACTTTTTAAAACATTCCATTCTGTTTTTCAGATGTCAACATTTATTTATTCATTGTTTGTTTGTTCAACATTTCAAAAATTACCGTCAGGTTAAGTCAAGTCAAGTCACATTTATTTATATAGCGCTTTTCACAATACAGAATGTATCAAAGCAGTTCACAGTGATAAGCTGTTTCAGAGGAATAGTTCACCCATAGATGTTCTTCTTTGTAACATAGACGATATTTGAGAAACGTCTGTGTTTTGCCATACAATGCAAGTCAATGGAAAGCAAAAGAGTTTGTTACCAACATTTCTTCAAAATAAAAATATCTTGTTTTGTGTTCCACAACGTCATACAAGTTTGGAATGACATAAGGGTGAGTAAATGAAGACTTTCTACACTATCTGTTTACGGTCCATCCTGTTTTCTTGTGACTTTTCAGATGATCCAGCTACAACTTACTAAACTTAAAGGAGTAGTTCACTTAAAAAAAAAAAAAAAAAAAACGTTTGCTGATAATTTACTCACCCCCATGTCATCCAAGATGTCCATGTCTTTCTTTCTTCAGTCGAAAAGAAATTAAGGTTTTTGATGAAAACATTCCAGAATTTTCTCCATATAATAGACTTCAATGGGGACCAAACGGTTCAAGGTCCAAATGAGAGTTTCAGTGCAGCTTCAAAGGGCTTTAAACGACTCCAGACGATGAATAAGGGCCTTATCTAGCGAAACGATCGCTCATTGAAAAAATAAATAAAAACTTTAAAGTTTTATAAGCACAAATGTTCTGAGCAATCATGACTCTCCTGTTCAAACTCGTTAAACTCGAAGGGTCCTAGATAAGCCCCTTATTCATCGGCTGGTGTCGTTTAAAGCCCTTTGAAGCTGCACTGAAACTCTCATTAGGACCTTGAACCGTTTGGTTCCCAATGAAGTCCATTATATGGAGAAAAACCTGGAATGTTTTCAACTAAAACCTTAATTTCTTTTCGACTGAAGAAAGAAAGACATGGACATCTTGGATGACATGGGGGCGAGTAAATTATTTTTTTTTAAACTGAACTACTCTTTTAAGAGCCTGAGCTTTACCACAGTCTAATTCTGGAAATCTGCTATACATTTTTATAGAAATACTTCTAATATTACAAAACAAGCATGAGGTACGGCACAACAGGAATGACCCAGTAATCATTGTTATTGCCTGCGCACTCATTTAGTCATTTGCTCTGAATCCTAATGAGTCAATGCCTGAAATATACAGGATATCTGGCAGTAAGATTACTTCCCCTTCTCACTTCTCCATTTGTTTCTCAAAGTGGGGTTTCGCATTGAAGGACCTTTTTGGTTCCCAAAAAACCTTTCAGTAAAGGTTTTTTAAAAGAACCATGATATCTTAATGTGAAGAACATTTTAATAATCTAAAAACACAGTTGTCCACTATAAAGAACCTTTAATGCTCCATGGATGTTAAACATTCTTTATTGAAGCATGAATGTCAATAAAGATCTTCATAAAGCATTTGAATATCTTCATATGTGATGTATCATACAGTATATAAAGTACAGCAACTCTCGATCACATCAGCGGCCGAGATTAATCTTTGGACCGAGGATCAAAGGAATAAACGTTGGACTCCATATCACTCCATCAAACCCACCTACACAACATAATAAAGAGTGGATTATACAAACAGATATAATCATCTATACCAGAGCCTGTTATGATCACACTGTTCTGCAGAACTGCTGACCTCGTCGTCGATGCAGCGGAACTGCCAGGTCCACTGCGTGTTGTAGAGGAAAGGTCGGAGGTCAAAGCGGTTGTCATCAGGACTGTAGTTTTCAGCATGATAAGAGGGTGTTACTGTTGTCATCTTATGTCTGTTGATTGAGTACATCCTAAAGAAATGTTTCACTTTAGTAGCCACCTGCAAAAACAAAACTGGCATTCAACACAAAGCAGACAGTTAGGCGATTTAAAGGGATAGTTCGCCCAAAAATGAAATTCTGTCATTGTTTACTCACCCCAATTGTCACCCCAAACCCATAAGACTTTCAGAACACAAATGAAAATCTTTTTGATTGTATTTCTGTCCCTGAGCTCAGTCTACGCAACTACCACTTTCAATCCCTAGAAAGGTAGTATTTCACTTCAACTTTATGAGTGTGACTCGAGTGCAAAAAAAATTACTTTACACCTAATTTCCAAAATATTATCATGATAGCACCCGCAAGAGCGAACCTTATGTGACCACGTGTTGGAGATTAATATTTTGTAAATAAAGTGGTAATTGATGTAATTGAAGTGGCACTCGAGTCATAAAATTGTGGTTAAACCACTGAAAGCACATGGATTATTTAATGATGTCTTTACTACCTTTCTGGGGCTTTAAAAATTGTAGTTGCGTAAACTCAATGGAGAGACAGAAAGCTCTCAGATTTCAGTTCTGAAGATGAACGAAAGTCTTATGGTTTCAGAACGACATGAGGTGAGTAATTAATGACAGAATTGTCATCTTTGGGTGAACTAACCGTTTAATTATCCTACTGAAACACTACCCCTAAAATAGCATTGATACAGCATTAGTACTGCTTTTAAAAGTACTTTTAATCTGAGTACAGTGATGTTTAGGGCATGTTTGACCTGTGAGGGAGAGAAGGTCTCTTTCCATGAGTGAATGAGCTTGCAAAACATGCTGTACGGGCCACACTTGGAGATCTTCCTGAGTCGGCCAATCACAGACAGCTCTGAGTAGGTCATCCCCATGTCGGCCTGTGGGAGAGGGACACAGAACCACATGAGGAAGGGCTCAGTGCTGTAAAACAATCTGTCTGCATGCATAAAAGTCAAAATTGACTTGATATAAAGTGATATAAAGTCAGTGATATAAGAAGTGATATAAAGTCAGAATTGCGTGTTATAAAGTAAGAATTTCGTGTTATAAAGTCAGAATTGCGAGATATAAAGTCAGAATTGCGAGATATAAAGTCGTGTAATATAAAGTCAGAATTGCGTGTTATAAAGTCAGAATTGCAAGATATAGTCAGAATTTCGAGATATAAAGTCAGAATTGCGTGTTATAAAGTAAGAATTGCGAAATTGCGAGATATAAAGTCAGAATTGCGAGATATAAAGTCAGAATTGTGTGATATAAAGTCAGAATTACGAGATATAGTCAAAATTACGTGATAGTCAGAATTGCGAGATATAAAGTCAGAATTGCGAGATATAAAGTCAGAATTGCGAGATATAGTCAAAATTACGTGATAGTCAGAATTGCGAGATATAGTCAGAATTTCAAGATATAGTCAGAATTTCGAGATATAAAGTCAGAATTGCGAGATATGAAGTCAGAATTGCGAGATATAGTCAAAATTACGTGATAGTCAGAATTGTGAGATATAAAGTCAGAATTGCGAGATATAAAGTCAGAATTACGAGATATAGTCAAAATTACGTGATATAGTCAGAATTGCGAGATATAAAGTCAGAATTGCGAGATATAAAGTCAGAATTGCGAGATATAAAGTCAGAATTGTGTGATATAAAGTCAGAATTGCGAGATATAGTCAAAATTACGTGATAGTCAGAATTGCGAGATATAAAGTCAGAATTACGAGATATAAAGTCAGAATTACGAGATATAAAGTCAGAATTACGAGATATAAAGTCAGAATTGCGAGATATAAAGTCAGAATTACGAGATAAAAAGTCAAAATTGCGAGATATAGTCAGAATTACGAGATATAAAGTCAGAATTGCAAAATATAAAGTCAGAATTGCGAGATATAAAGTCAGAATTGCGTGATATAAAGTCAGAATTGCGAGATATAAAGTCAGAATCGCGAGATATAAAGTCAGAATTGCGAGATATAAAGTCAGAATTGCGTGTTATATAGTCAGAATTGCGAGATATAAAGTCGAAATTGCGTGTTGTAAAGTCAGATTGCAATTGAGAAACGATGTCATAATTTCGAGATATAAACTCACAACTATGTGTTGTAACTTGCAAAGTCATAATTTCTAAATGTAAACTCGCAATTGTGAGACAAAATGTGGCAATTCTTCTCACAGTTGCAACATTCTTCCTCACAATTGCAACTTTACTTCTCACAATTCGGACTTCATATCTCAAAATTGTAAAATAAAAATTCGCAATTATTTATTTATTTATTTATTTTTTATTCCAACCTTCCATATCATGGGTCTAGTGTGTAAACCTTGCCACGAACGTTAGGAATTAAGTATGTAAATATGCGCTTCTTTTGAAAATGTTCCCTATAACGTGCTACATTTTAATGTCATGCAAATGTTCTGTGACGTTTCTTGATGCATGTATTAGTGAATGAGGTTGACGATGTTTACCTCATCGGTCTGGACCACCTTGCCATCAGTCAGTGGCTCAAGCTCTGCAGTTGGTGGAGCATCTAAAATGCTGGACAGAAGATGGACACATGTGATCACGCTGCTGTTTCTGACTCTTAAAGTGCTGCAACCTGACGTTCTATACGGTGCTATAAGGACGCCTTTTTCCACCCACGTTGCCATTGGCTTGGCTTGCTTAGTTGGGGACATTCAATTTCATGATGACAACACGGTTTACTCCAGAGTGGCTATATATACACTAAGAGCCTAATATAAAATTTAACTACAATAGAGTGCCGAAGTGATGACGTCACTTTGTAGGACAACTCGGAAGCTAGCGGCGCATGGGTTCCCTCGGTCAAAAAGCAATGCATTTTCCCCATAGACTTTTGGAAAATCGCAAAAAATAAGATCTGTGTTTAACAAAGGGTTGTGACCCTTACACGTTTTGTCTAGCAAGACAATCTTTACAAGTTAATCCAAAATTTATACATTTTGAAGCCTATATAAAGATTTTAAAAAACACAATCAGACACAATAAAGTTTAAAAAACCACAAGCAGGTTATAAATGTGTGTTCTATGTCAAAAATGAAAATATTTAGAGGCTTTGTTCACCACAGACCTTATTTCAGGCGATTTAGCAAAAACCCATTCAAAAATCCCATAGGCTTTAGAGCGAGGGAACCGTAATGCTAAAATGCTAACTCACTTCCGCGTTTTGGCCTACAGAGTGACATCATAACTTCGGCACTCTATAGTCCATGTTTGATCTGGCTTCAAACCCTGTCATCTTAATGTTCGTACTGTAAGTTAAACCACTCGGCCATGTCTTAACTCATTGAGAGACGTCCAAATGTTTGTTTCTCCAGTGTGTGTTCACTCAATTGGCCGCGAAAACGTTGTGTTGTTCGCCTATTGTGAGTGAACATGAAAAAAGTAGACCTTATACAGTTTTAAAAGATGATTTTATTATTAAGTGGTAAATGAACGGCCATAAAAAAGTTTAAAATCAAGTTTAGTTGAAAGCAGTGTCGTGTGAGTGTTGAGCAAGCAATCTTATTGGCTGCAGGATCAGCAGAGACCAATCATCTTGTGCCATGCATTAATGACGTGACTGAATGTGAAGGACCCGTCTGCCAGGCCAAAACTATAAATTAAGATTCATCAGTGATCTGATCAGCAAATGTGTGACAAAAGGAGAGATTACACACGTTACGAGGGCGGTGAGCTGGAAGCGTTTCACACAGTACTGCAGGAAGCACTTCAGGTCCATCTTACTAACACCTCCAATCGGATTGATATCAGCACTGGAGCAGTCGTACTTTGTGAAGTATCCAGTCAAACTGCAAAGTCAGAGAATACTTTCTTTAAAGTGATCTCCATTATTATTGATATTGGGATGCTAACACACACCTCTCATCCACGTTTGCAGAACCAAGAACTAAGAGACCACCGGGTTTTCCCTGAGCCCACAGACAGAGCTGGGCAAAGAGGTAGGCCAAAATCATCCTGACACGAGCCTGTAGTGGAGTAAAAACAACACACATGCATTAGTTTCAAACAATATGCTATTTAGGGAAAAAAATGCAGATGTGAAATAGTTCTGAAGGTATGAAATTCCTAATCTATTGCATAATTTTATCATCAGTGGATCATGTAAAGTCACAATTCTTGCTTTTTATGGAATAACGCAGAAAGATTTATCAGTGCATTTATCTTTTTTTAAAGGGATACTCTACTTTTTTAGGAAATAGGCTCATTTTACAACTCCCCCAGAGTTAAACAGTCGAGTTTTACCGTTTTTGAATCCATTCAGACGATTTTCTGATTTTTAGAAGAATATCAGTAACCGGACAGTTTCTGGTCTCATTGACTTCCATAGTAGGAAAAAATATACTATGGAAGTCAATGAGACCAGAAATTGACTGGTTACTGATATTCTTCTAAAAATCAGAAAATCGGGTGAATGGATTTTTCGAAAACGGTAAAACTCGACTGTTTAACTTTGGGGGAGTTGTAAAATGTGCCTATTTCCAAAAAAAAACTGGAGTATCCCTTTAAGTTTAATCTTTAATCAAAATAACTTCCCCTCCCTCTTGCAGCTCATCTCTTCTCTGATGATGAGGCGACCTGTCAATCACATTAGATCCACCAATAGCAAACCACAACATTCATCCAATCAATTCCCACTGGACATGATCAAGCCCCGCCCTACATTTGTTCTTGTTCGAGAAGCCGTTTTACTCAGATGTATGTTGCAATAGAAAAGAAAAGACTACCGCAACTTACATTTAATGCTGACTTTAAATATGTCCAAAGTAATTGCATGCTTCACTGACCAGAGAAATCTTGATACCTACTAAAGCCATGGATGCATTTTTTCAAAAATATTTTAGAAAATATTCAATAATTTTCAACGGGCTCTATGCACGGCGGTATTTCCGGTGAAGCATTAGGGATGCTCGCTAACTTCCGCCGATCGTAGAGTCCAATGCAATACCGAGAATTAATATTGAATTTTATACTCCATGGTTATACTAAAGAAACGTTAGTCACAAAAACAGATAAAACAGACACCCCTTGTTGTGTTTATGCTTCTTTTTAAAATTATATTAAATAAATATAACTATATATAAAATTACATCTAAACGTATGTACGTTTCGTTTCAAAGACTGGAGGACAGTAAATTTTGAAGACTCTGCCATAATCCCGTTTTCCTCGGTTTTCCTCCGCTTTAATCTCCACAACCGGAAATGGACGAGCATCCTTGCGTCAAATGCGGAATTTATGCGTGCATATAGCCCATTACCCTTACTAGGGGTTTTCAAAATAGGAGGTTCACAAAAGTACCGAAAAATTCAAAGATAATTATTTTAACTATTTTGAGGCGTTCAAACTATGTTACGATATTAAATGATTAATGTAATATATATATATAATTTTTTATTTTTTTTTAAATGTATTGTTACCATTTAATTTAGCTTTCTAACGACGGGTTAGAAATCATGACACTAATCATCATTATTTGATTGGTCTAGTTTTTGGTCGTAAGAAATAGAAAATATGCATGTATCATTTTTTTGGGATACATTTTTTTTCTTAGTTTTATCCAATTTTATTTTTTAAATATTTTTTTTTTAAATAAATTGAAATTGAACTGAAATGTTTATATGTCTATACTCTAGTCATATCAGTGGCCAAGAACATTATAAACAAGAGTGTTCATAAGTCAAAAGGGCTTTTCATTTCTTTGCAAACCTTTTCCTCTTTCAAAGCTGTGATGCATCATATTTGTGTGAATGTGTTTAACTGGCAAAATGATGTTACTGTGTTACTTATGCTTTGAAATAGTGAAACACAGCAAATGTGCATGACATTTGACGCTTTCTTGGGGTGACTAACTGCAACATTTTTTTTTTTGTGTGAAAATTGTGGTGGTTGTGTTACAATGCAAGCAAACGGCATATTGAAAAAGTCAGCAAAAGTATCACTTTCATAGAAACTGCTTTCTCAAGCCCACACTTTAGTGATGCCATGGGTCAAATAAAAAAAGAGCCACATAAAACAAATCTATTTTATTTCAAAATGGCCACCAGCAACAAAATGCAACACTCTAAGCATTGCACATTTGTGAATGTTACTGCATAATGCTGCTTTCCATTCATTAGTATACTTTTGGTTATTTCTGAGACTTTAATGTTTCATGATGCATTATTAAAAGGCTGTGATCTCGATCCAAACACCCAAGCGACCTTATTCCTAAAATGACAATGATTCGACTATGTTTATTAAACCTTAGACAAAAATCACAGCGCACATTCAGATCTGCGTTCTGAATGAAGATTCAATCAATGCCGTTGTTACACAATGTATCTGTCATTGAATCATTCATTTAAAAATGATGATTCATCCATTAACAAAATAAGTGAAGTGTTAATGAGTGAGTCATTCATTTTGAAACAAATGATTTTTGTAATTAATTCAAATGTAACACTTTACAAGTCACTTAAACAGATTACTTTTTCAACTAGTAAAGTAACGCATTAATTTTAAATTTGCAAAAAGTTAGTTTTTCAAATAAGTAATGCAAGTTACTCTTTTTTTACGCTCTCCTGTCCCCATGTTGAGAGAAACCGTAAGTGCAGATGTGTGAACAGACATGTGAAGTGTGTGCGATGTGTGAACAGGATGGCTATTGTAATTCTTGACTATATACTTTATGTATTGTCTCTTACTTTATTAACCAATATATTTGCTGGTGACTTTTGATGATCCACTTAAACCATACTAATAAGCAAAATTGACTTTAGATAAACCACATTTGTGTTTCTTTCTTCTTTTTATTGCTAAAGTAAGTTGAACTTCAACTGCATCCTATTCTTCTTGAATCCAGAATAGCAGCACAGCTGAAAGTTTTTCTTTTTTGAACTGTGCCCTCTACTGGACAAGCATGAATTTGCATTTCTTTCAGCCTGAGGCTTATTCATTTCACTTTTGGTGTGAAAGGGCCTTTACATTTGCCAAAAATATAACTTTTTTTGTTGTTATTATTAAAAAACAAAATAAGCAAGCCCAGCCCAGGTGAGAAATAGTATCGTAAAAGTAATGTAACGCATTACTTTCCATAAAAAGTAATTATTATGAGTAAAGGAATTAGCAATTTTGTAAAGCATTACTTTTAAAAGTAATTTTCCTCAGCAAGCAGAAAATCGTGCAAAAATCATGCAGATCTAATTTAAAGGGATAGTTCACTTTGAAATTAATTTTTGGTATGTTTTATCTTACCTCAAGGGCATCCAAGATGTAGGTGTCTTTGTTTCCACAGTATTTTAAATTGTGATATTTTTAGGTCAAACCGTTCGTGTCTGTCAGTCATATAATGGAGGTCTATGGTCACCACCTTAAAGAGCATGCACAGAGAAGTCCAAATTAAACATGAGTTAATGACTCGTAAATGTAAGTACACATTGATGGCCTAAGACACGAAACGAGCGGTTTGTGTGAGAAAACAAACTGTATTTATATCGTTTTTAACTCTTGTAACCACAGCCACGTCCAAGTGATCTGAGGGCGCGGGCGCTTTGTGTCTGTGGTGACAAGGTAAAAACGATATAAATACTGTTCGTTTTCTCACACAAACCGCTCGTTTCGTGTCTTAGGCCATCAATGTGTACTTACATTTACGAGTCATTAACTCATGTTTAATTTGGACTTCTCTGTGCATGCTCTTTGAGGTGGTGACCATAGACCTGCATTATATGTCTGACAGACAAGAACGGTTTGACCTAAAAATATCAAAATTGAAACTACTGCGGTAACAAAGACACCTACATCTTGAATGCACTTGAGGTAAGCTAAAATATACCCAAAATTCAGTCCCTAATAAAAGCAATCATGCATTTAATAATAGCATGAGCGTCTATGACGAGTGCTGTACCTGGACGTTCTGAAGAGCCAGGTTCTCTCTAGCACTTCCTCCATTAGCTCGGAACTGAGGCCACTTCCCTGTGACCATGGAGAAGATTCCCAGCATGCCTTTCACTGCCATGTCAATGTTGATATTCAGGTGATTGCTGAGAGCAGAACAGATATAAATCAACATCTTAATTACACAATGATACATTTTTAAAGTACTGCTATTAAATTGCATACTTAAGAAGAGATATATAAGAGTATGGAAGCTTGTTTTCACCACACACACAAAAAAAATAACTAAAAAATGTAATTGCGACTTTTATCTCACAATTCATACTTTTTTTCGACTTTTTATCTCAGAATTGCATGATATTAAGTCACAATTGCAAATTATAAGTCACAATATACAGTAGGGCTGGGAAAAAATTGAGAAAAATGGGAGAAATATTGATTCATATTTTAAAAAAATCTATTTTTAGATTATTTTTCTCACCCTCTTCAGTATAGCGTATATAAATTTTGCATTTGCCAAATCTTCCTTCAGGGTTTCAATAGCACGCTCCCTGTGCACGCTCTAATGCAATTTTATTTTTTATGGCGAGTGATGTCACATGTTTTCCCTCAGGATTTTGTTGTTGTTTTATTAGCTCAATCCAAATACAGTATCAATAATGTGGATGTTTAATAGTCTCTGTTGCACACTGCACAGTGACTTTTCATTTAGAGAAAGGGTTTGCCTTTTGCAATTTTGTTTATGTTGATGCACTTTAAATAAATACAATAAATATATATTTTTTAAATATATTTACATTTCACAGTTATTTTGTTTTAAATGGAAGGGGAGGGAAAATCTAATCGTAATTTGACTTATTTATTTTAAAAAATCTGATTTTTTTTTAGGGGAAAACAGCGGCCAGCTCGATTATAAAGTCAGAATTGTGAGATATAAAGTCGCAATTATCTTTTAAAATGTTATATTCTGTGCCAGAAACAAGCTTCCATAGAAGAGACTCATATGTATCAATCAAATGTTTGCCATGTCATCCACTGACCTGCCGATCTGAGCAGCGAGATCTTTGGCTCTGTTGCGTGTGTCCTCAGAAGAGTTTTCACTAGCCATGTAGCATGTGGTAAAGAGGCGTCCACACAGCTCCCGCGGGTCCTCGGGCCTGTAGGACGAATCGTTGACCACACGCTTCACATCATCCAGAACCTGAGAATCTGAGACCAATGGTGCACACGTTTAAGCCTCTAGATTACATGTTCTTATGTTTTGAAGAGCTACTGTGTGTGTGTTTTGGACTTACTGCCATCTTTGACGGCTTGGCAGATCTGCACACACATTGAGTACACAATACAGGCCGAAGATGAACTGTCCACACCACCACTAAGAGGAAGAAGGAAGCCAGCCTGAAAACAACAAAACACACAAACCTCATTAGCTAAACATATCTTAACATTCACTGCCAAAACAATAAACATGCTATCAACGGTCATATTAACATGCATTATAGAAAAAAAACAACAACATACCTGTCCACTTCTCCTTAAGTAGTCCCATAACCAACAGGCAGGACCAAGGCTGAAATAACACCCAAAATATAGATTTAATATTGTAATAATTGATTTAATAAATGCTGCATCAATTTATAACACCAAACGGTACATATATGTGCCCTCTGGTTTACTGTATAGGGTTTTAAATGGATTCATATCCACCACCACCAGCCTGCACAGTGGTAACAAGGCATGATGGATCCATGTTCTCATTCTGTTCACGCCAAATTCTCTGAATGTCTCAACAAAAATCGAGACTCATCAGACCAGGCAACATTTTTCCAGTCTTCAACTGTCCGATTCTGGTGAGCTCTTGCAAAGTGTCGCCTCTTTTTCCTATTTGTAGTGGAGATGAGTGGTACCCGGTGGGGTCTTCTGCTGTTGTAGCCCATCCGCCTCAAGGTTGTGCGTGTTGTGGCTTTGCTGCATACCTCGGTTGTAACGAGTGGTTATTTCAGTCAAAGTTGCTCTTCTATCAGCTTGAATCAGCTTGAATCAGGCATTTTCGCCCACAGGACTGCCGCATACTGGATGTTTTACCCTTTTCACACCATTCTTTGTAAACCCTAGAAATGGTTGTGCGTGAAAATCCCAGTAACTGAGCAGATTGTGAAATACTCTTGAGACCAACAACCATGCCACGCTCAAAATGGCTGAAATCACCTTTCTTTCCCATTCTGACATTCGGTTTGGAGTTCAGGAGATTGTCTCGACCAGGACCACACCCCTAAATGCATTGAAGCAACCGCCATGTGATTGGTTAATTAGATAATTGCATTAATGAGAAATTTAACAGGTGTTCCTAATAATCCTTTCGGTGAGAGTTAATTTTTCGCTGTGAAAAGTTACCTGATCTCTTCTTCTGGGGTGTTGAAGATCCACTCCACAGGTTGGTGCGTAGGCAGACACCTGTCATCACAGTCAGACAGACAGAAGTCCGTTTTCATCCTCTGATACGCTTTGTGCTCATATTCCTGTACAGTGAGAAAAATATTAAAAAACAAGAAACTCCCGCACTATATCATCAGTACTTGCAAATTAGCAACGTTTCAGTCTCAGGACCTGACTATATATATATTTACTCATTTGCAAGTATTGATAGTAGAGCTCGACCGATAAAGGATTTTGAAGGCCGATACCGATACAAATATTTTTGGGTTAAAAATCCGATATATCGGCCGATATTTTATTTATTTATTTGAAACTGGACATGATATTTGAGTTAAGAGAACTGATGGGGATGTTCTTTTAATTGTTATTTAAGCAAAGTATGTATCGTGACCAACTCAACGAGTGTTGCCAACAGGGACGGTGTAGAGTGCCCTCTGGTGGACAAACTATACAACTCCAACACTCATGACATGGTTCAAGCGTGTTTCGTCCGTTTTTATTTTATTTTTGAAATATTCATTTATCAGCCATTACAACTGCCGATACCTTGGAAAATGCCTAATATCGGCCGATATATCGGTCTGGCTCTAATTGATAGTGTGCGGGAGTAGTTTTTTGGACTCATTTGGTCTTTTTTCCCCACACACCTATAACCTGCAGGTGTGTGACGGTGATTGCTAATTAAGTTACTTAAAAATAAAATCTCATGTCTTTCAATGTCCTCTCACCATATGTGGGTGACATCTCTCTCCTCGATAGCTGCGCACATCTTCCAGATCCAGAGTGGCCGTGACAACCTCCTTCAAATCGGCAGAAACGCATCAATCAGATTGATCGAACTAAAATGTTTAAGGTGAAAGGTGAGTTTCAACAGTCAGCACTTACTACATCCTCGAGTGAGAACTGCGCTCCTCTGGCAACAATATCCCCATTAATGGCAATCATAGCACAGCCATCATAGTACAGACGGTCTCCATCGCAGCCCTTCTGATTGGCAAACAGATAAATCCCTCCACTCTGAAACACATTCACAACATGTGAGCGTCACCAGTGTTGGGTAAGTTACTCTAAAAAAGTCATTAATTACTAGTTACTAATTACCTCTTCAACAGTGTAATTAGATTACTACTAATTACTCTCTCTAAAAAGTATTTAATTACTTTTAATTACTTTCAAAATCCCATATCAATCTCAACCAGCTGAATAATACAAGGATAGACATGAATCGGTTTTAATTCTTTCAAATAAATACTATAAAATTGCATGAATTATCCTTAAACAGACCAAGATGGAGAAGGTTACATTATAAAAACATCAGACAATACATTTTTGATGTTAAACCCACTATTGTTTTATGTCTGATCTCATGACATTTCACACTTTTTTCATACATATTTTACAATAATTCATACGAATTTGTACGAGTGCGGTCGTAATATTTAGACGCCTTATAAAACGCGTACGAATCGCTGTGAGATCGGATTGATCTATACACAGTATTTACCTCAATTACATCAGAAGTAACCAGAGCCAGACCGATATATCGGCCGGCCGATATTATCGGCCGATATTAGACATTTTCCATAATATCGGTATCGGCAGTTATAATGGCCGATAAATGAATATTTTAAAAAATGAAATAAAAATGGACGAAACACGCTTCAATCATCTCTCCTTGGCCTGTTATATTGAAAATGTATGTTTTACAATTTGCAGTATAATGTTATCTATTGTTAAATTATGGCTCATCATAGACTAGCTAACCACAAAGCTAGCTAATACCACTATCATCAGTGGAAGACCGCTAACGTTAACATTAATGAGCTTGGAAACCACAATGAACTTTTTCTGCCTAAATAAAGTAATGATTACTGTATTTATAACTAGCATATCTCTAGTTACAGTCCCTGCATTGTAAAATCTGTAAGTTATACTTGCGAGGAGTGAACATTTAGACAGAGAAAAAGTATCAAACGTATCTTGTGCAGAAAAGTTAGCTTTTTTTTACACATGTGTGAAATCCAACAATATTCAATAAAAAAAAAAATTTCGGCCGATATATTGGAATATCAGACTTTAAAACCCAAAAATATTTGTATCGGTATCGGCCTTCAAAATCCTTTATCGGTCGGGCTCTAGAAGTAACTGTAATTAAATTACAGATAAATTAAGAGTAATCCCTTACTTTACATTTTCAAGGGAAAAGTAATTAAATTACAGTAACTAATTACTTAGTAATTAGTTACACCCAACACTGAGCGTCACGAATTGAAAAAGGTTCAGTGTCACCTTTGTCTTTGCAGAGGCCACTTGAAGTTGAGTTGGTTTCTTATACTGTACATACATTACCGGTCAAAATGTTTTTGAAAGTAGTCTCAATCTCACCAAGACCGCATTTATTTGATCAAAAATACAATTACACTGTGAAATAATATTACAATTTAAATGAACTGGCTTCTGTTGCAATATATTTTAAAAAGTTATTTATTCCTGTGATGTGAATCTGCATCAGCCTTCAGTATCACATGTACTACACATATTAATATATATAAATGTATATACCTTTGTGGTGGCGGATTTGACCAAGTTCACCCTGTGGTCAGCCTTGCGTAGCTCATGGTAGCTTGCGGAGGAATTGGTAAAAATCTCAATGCCATCTAAACCCATGTCAACATGTGGACTAAAAAAAAGAAGTAAAAGAAAGTTCAGTTCCTCATTCTAAAGCAATTATGAAACTAAATGTTCTCAGCAGGAGATTGGTGAAGGATTTAAAGGAGAACTCCGCCACAAAATGAGACTTTGGTCTAATAAAACATTGGTACCCTGTCGACCGTTCTCTGACATTTGTTTTCATGATAATCGAATGTAAAGAGTTTTATCTCTAAAACGGTTTAGTGTATAACGCTAATAATGGGGGCATTTACATTTACTTTTATTCACAAGAAGATACTTTGAGACAGTGCACTTCGTGTAAACAGGCAGGAGAAAACGAACAGTCTCGACGAGTCGAACCACGAACGCCGTTCATTCAGTTCAGCTCACTTGGCACGTCGTTCGTGGTTCGACTAGTCAAGACTGTTTTCCAAGTGGACTGTCTTTATAAAGCAGTCTGTACACTTATAAAGTTCTCAATGCTTCGGTTTGCATGTATGGACCCTCATTATGTTACTGTGTTAGTGTAGGGCTATTTTTAGACTTGTTAGTGGTATAAACTAGCGCGTTTTCTTTTTACTTAGTAAATGCCCCCAGTACTAGCATTATACGCTAAACAGTTTTTAGAGATAAAACTCTTTACATTCGATTATAAAACAAATCTCAGAGAACGGTTGACTAGGTACCGATGTTTTATTAGACCAAAGGTTTGTTTTGCGTCAGAGTTCTCCTTTAAGGAACAACATATTAAGGATTCATTAAAAATATTAATTTCTAGGGATGCATCATATATCGCCCCCTGAAATATAATATGCCCGATAAGAAAATTTGGCCAATATTTTAAAGCGAATAAATTATGGATTATTCAGATGTCACGATGAGTTCGCCATTGTGATTTTAAATTGCTTCAGAAAAGGAAAACAGTGTTAAAGGAGTAGTTCACTTTCGAAAAAACTTTTGCTGATAATTTACTCACCCTCATGTCTTTCTTTCTTCAGTCGAAAAGAAATTAAGGTTTTTGATGAAAACATGCCAGGATTTTTCTCCATATAATGGACTTCAATGGGGTCCAAACTGTGCAAGGTCCAAGTGCAGCTTCAAAGGGCTTTAAACGACACCAGACGATGAATAAGGGTCTTATCTAGCGAAACGATCGCTCATCAAAATGAACTAATCTTTTTTCGAGTCATTTGGTTGATTCAACGAACAAAATGGACTAAATGACTCGAAAAAGATTCTTGACTTTGAACGGGAGAGTCGAGCAAGGCGAGCATTTGTGCTTATAAAACTTAAACTTTTTTATTTATTTTCGAAATGACCGATGGTTTCGCTAGATAAGGCCCTTATTCATCGTCGGGTGTCGGTTAAAGCCTTTTGAAGCTGCACTGAAACTCTTATTTGGACATTGAACCGTTTGGTTCCCATTGAAGTCCATTATATGGAAAAATTTCTTTTCAACTGAAGAAAGAAAGACATGGACATCTTGGATGACATGGGGGTGAGTAAATTACTAACATGCAGCACAAGTCTGTCATATAGGTTACCTACAATTATTATGAGAACATTATAATTGTGTGTTTGGGACATGGCTTCCTTACATCCTGTTTTAGTAATCAGGATCTCAAAATGTATATCAAAATTCAAGATTTAGATTTATCGGCCAATATATCGGGTATCGGCTTTCAAAATATTAAAAATTATCGGTTATCGGCTTAAATTTTCATATCGGTGCATCTCTATTAATTTGCCATTCATATAGTATAGATGAGATGATTATGTGCAGAATAAAACCTCCTGGGGTTCCACAGCTCAGCACAAATCTCACTCCCTATGCAGGTGTCCTTGGTGGACAGCACCCCGTCTCCAAACGGCACTGTGGTCTACCAATGAGGACAGCTGGCATTACTATACATGCCTAATAAAATTGACATTTTATGCATGCATATATTAAATAATCATAGTTTCATGAAACGCTTTGTTGATTCATTTTTTAAGTGACGAGGAATCATACTTTACCTGCCCTGTCACATCTTGGATCATTCTGGGTAGAAAGTACTCCTCAACATGTCTGCAAATATGTCATTGTGTTTTATTTGCTGGGAAAATATTTAAAAAATATAGTATGAAAATATACTTTGCATACCTGGGTCGACTCCAAGGTGAAAACCATCGAAATTCCCTGTTGTTGCCATAATTAGCCAAAAGCATTTTAGGACGGATTAACAGTATCTTTCTGTCGGATACAAAAACATTAGACATAAATGCATATTATTGTGTTGTTATTATTATAATATGATCATTAAGCAGCAGTAATGCAAATGCTTTATACTCAATACTGTAGTAAAATCATACTTGTTCAAAAAGATGACTCTGCAGTTATATCGAACATTGTGATGCATGACAGGCCTGAGGAAGAAGCATGTAAATAAATGTTTAATGCATTAGAAATCATAAAACATATTAAGAAATTATATTTTTCCGAATGTTTCACTTACATTCCCACATCACAGATGATATCGTGGGTCAAAGGAGATTCTAGTAGAGATTTCAAAACCTGGAAACAGTGTAGCAGTGTGTCTGACTCGTAGAAGTGATCTGCACAGCCGTAGCCACTGATGCAAAGAACAGTATATCATCATTTACTCATTATACTGAATTAGTTCATTATATACTTTATTTTATGCTGTTTTTCTGTGTTAATACTGTGAATTAATACAATCATTTTAATTAATAACCATTTTAATTCAATACTTTATGAGCATACGCCAATGTAATGTTTCGTTATTCTCAAATAAACAATCTGTGGAAGACAATATTAACGTTACCAGATTTCTAGCTCTGGTCCTAGTCTGTACTTGGCTCCTTTCTGCTTGGCTATCTCAATACCTGTTTTGGAGACAAAAGTAGACGAGGTCACTTTAAGATCATAAGACTTTAGTGGTAACGTTACTTTAGTAACGGACTACTGGTGAATAAGTAGGTTGCATGAAAAGTCGGAACTTACTTTTAAGTATCCTTGACAAGTTCCCTTCAAAATCCAGAGCCCACTGATTTAAGCAGCAAGTCGCTAGTGTGACCTTGCGACCCATTTTGCACAGCTAGAAATGATTTAAAATGAATCAAAACAACTCTACACCTGACTGTAGTTGCGCAACAGCACTGAGTCGAAACTTTTACTTACTGTACTCCCATTTCCGGACTGTACTTTCATGCACTTCAAAATAAAAGTTTCGCGTAAGGAAGGCTAAGGAACAACATTAAACATTTACCTGAATCTTTCTAAAAACTACACAGTTTATCTAGAGAGAAAGTGGCCATTTATTGTTTTGTTTTTAGCCCTTTTTTATTTGTGTTGTTTGTTAGGTTGCTTTTGGGGGATTCATTTTGTTTTTTGTTTTTTCTAGAAAAATAAAGCCTTCACAAACCATAAAAAAAAAAAAAACAACATTAAACATACTTCGCTCAAGGAAAGTTTAAAATAATATGTATTTTTAAGTATAAACACTTAATTGAGTCAAGCTGCTTTTTCACTTAAAATCCCAGAATACAATTTAAATAAATAAATACAAAATTTAATAATTGATTTTATTATAATTTGTTATCTTACGTCCAAAGTTTAAAAACAAGGTTTTTTTTTGTTTGTTTTTTTAATGGCAGTTACATTTATTATTAACTTATTTGCTCATCCATGAGCAATGGATGCGGAAAGTTAATTTTTCCTATGTGCCAGAGAACTAAATAAAGCTTTTAAGTGTGTTAATAAAAAGGCTGATAATTTTTTTTATCAAGAAATTATTTGTAACTGACGAATTATAATTTGACATTTATCATTTCTCAATCATTCGGCGCTTAAACATAAAAGGTTCGCGTAAGGAAAGCAATTTAAATATTTAAAAAAATATATTTACAGTAAACTGCACTGAGGTTTAACATTCTTTGCCCGAAGACATATAAACTGCTCTGTAAAAATAATTAAACTACTATCAACCTAAAATAGTCAATCTGCTTTTTCAATAATAAAATATTATTTTTTAATTTTATTTAGCAAAGGGCTGGTATTTTCGTTTCAATAACTATGTGTGATTAATTATTTGTAAATACTCCCTGACATTCCTGCGTAAATGTGGTGCAGCTGGAAGCCCTTCATGAGCTGAGCTCATCAGGCGCTCATGGGTTCAGGTCTCACTTGTCCAATCACTGACAAGAGGATGCATTTCGTCTCTCTCTGATTGGACCAATGTTCATGACGTTAAATGTGGGTGGAGTTTGAATTTGGCCAGAGTCTCCCCTTCCCTCGTTACATCACTGTGAACATCTGGGCAACGTGAAGTGGCGCAGCATCACCCTTATAACTGTAAGCATTATTTAACTTTTTGACCAGTTGCTTTTATGCATTTGAAAGCTACGTTGTATATTAAGTCGATTTATCAAGATTGCATTATACAGCATATTCAGATATCTCTTCTGCGTACGTATGTAACGCTTAACTCTAGATAGATGTCCTAATTACAACTGTCACATTGTCACTCTGGAGGAGCCTGACATTGATATGATAACTATAATATTTCACACTAGTACGCATGTTAGGGCAGGAGTCGTGTTTCACTTTCATCCGGTTGGTTTAGTGCGGATTATTCTCAAGCAGCACCTTTACTTTGCAGAAGAATGACCCTGACGTCATCTCTACGTGATACACGATTGGCTGTTTTTGGCCACTTTGTTGATTTGCCGACAATAAACTCTTAAAAAGTCATGAAATGAACGTTTGCTAACATTTGAAATTTCTTGAACGTCATTTCCACCAAATCTACAAACATGTATTGTGTTTAATAATAATAATGATGCATAGCCTATACATATATGGAGTAATTAGCATTTTATGTCGTATTTTACCAAAAAAAAAGTGCACAACAGAATACTCAACACAAAAGTGATATTTAGCTTGCTGCCTCATATTTCATCTCAACATGGTCTACACTGAAAATGTTGCCTTTTTGGGTAACTTTTTATTAAAATTTTGTTCTTTGTTGTAGTGGAAAGTATGCCACTACTGAAAATGATTTTGATTATTTCCCTCTTTTTTTATATTATCATAGTATGAAACATATTTTGTAGGGCTGGCCTAGGCAACGATTAATCATGATTAACCGCATCCAAAATAAAAGTTTGTGTTTACATAATATATGTGTGTGTGGTGTGTTAAACTATTTAATACACACTCATGCATGTATATATTTAAGAAATATTTGCATGTATATACATATTTATACAGAATTCATATTATATATAAATATTTGATATATTAACAACACATTTTTCTCAAATATATACATGCGTGTGTGTGTGTATTTATATACAAAACAGTTATACACACTACAGACACATATATTATTTAAACACAAACTTTAATTTTGGATGCGATTAATCGCGATTAATCATTGCCCAGCCCTAATTTTTTGTTTTTATCATCCTATGTACCTTTTTATTCATGCGTTTTGAAGTGTCTTTAATTACTATGTACTAATACTTAATTAAAGCATTTGATACAATGCAGTTATTGTGTACATACATGTTTTTACATTGCACTTATATTTATATATATTGCAATTCAACACAAAGAACATTAATTACTATCAATCTTTTTTTGATGCAAAAATGAGTATGCTATAACATATTAGAAACCTTGTAACCCTGAATTGAACATGTTGTTAATATGCAAATGTTCAAATAATAAAAGATGAGACAAGTTTACAGTTGACTACAAAAAAAAAAAGATTGAGACAGGGTAACTAGCTTTGCTTGTATAACAAAAGCACACAATTCATAACCTCTTATCAGTTGGAGAGATAACATTATAGGTCACCGCATTAAAAATGCAACAGCCATGTTCCTCTAAAACTGATATTTTATGATAAACTAAGCTATTTAAAACCATTGAATGAGCCATTAACTTTTTCAGCTGATGCAAATGTCATTACTTATCATATTTCGCACATATATATATAACACCTACATTGTGTTATCTGTTATCTGCAGTGCACTTTGTTCTCCACTTATTGCCAGAGACGTGTTTACCATCTCAGAGGTTATTCTTATGTTCTTCCCCACTACTCTCCCTCTCTCAGACATCCACGATGGCAGCCGATGCTGTGAGAAAGCGCCACAAGGGCAGCTCTAACGGATCAGCGGCAGGGCCGAGAGATCAGGGACAGGAGCCGGCTCAATGGGGAAGAGCATGGTCAGTCACTGCATGCACATAAAACATGGTTTGGTCAGGCTCAATATTATAACGTAGATGTGATAGTAGTATTTTGAAGTGAATTACTGATTTAAAGAGGTGGTAAAATGCTATTTTCACAAGATGTAAAATAAATCTTTGATGTCCCCAGAGTGTGTGTGTGTGAAGTTTTAGCACAAAATACCCCACAGATATTTTTATACAGCATGGTAAAGTTGTCACTTTTTGATGGTTTGCAAAAAAGCACCATTTTGTGCCTGGCCCTTTAAATGCAAATGAGCCTCTGCAGAGGGCGGGGTTTCCTGATTCCTGATATCGATAATTCCTGATATCAATAATTAAATTGTCACTAGTTCGTTGAAATGTCTAATCTTGATATCAACAATTCAATTCCTTACTAGTAAGAAAGCTTTTTTTAGATATCTGAAATAATATTGATATCAGAAATACATTTTCAGATATCAAAAAAGAACATTGTTACTAGTACCAATTGAATTGTTGATATCAAGAATAGACATTTCAGCTAGTGACAATTTAATTATTGATATCAGGAATTCACATTTTTACTCGTAACAATGTAATTATTGATATCAAAAATGATATTTCTACTAGTAAAAACTCAATTCTTGATATCAAAAATTGATTTTGAATAGCAGCCTATGGTGACATTTCACTAGTGAAAATACAATTACAGATTTCAGCTATCAAAAATTCTTGACATCAACAATTAGTTTTTTTGATATCAAGAATTCATATCCTGGAAATAAATAAAAGTTAAAAAAACGGCTTGTCCTGGTAACACAAACCTCAGATACATAAATAAATTACATTATAAAGTTAAATCTTCAGTGAAATATTTGGAACGACTGCACCTGTTAGTAAATATAACAAGGGATGCACCGAAATGAAAATGAAAACTAATAAAATAAAAATAATTCTTTATATTTGAAAGCCAATAACCGATATATTGGCTGATAAATCTAAATCCAGATTAATCCAGCTGAAGGAAATAATCCATTATTTATAGATATTAAGGGGATACCTCACTTTGAAATTAATTTTTGGTATGTTTTATCTTACCTCAAGGGCATCCAAGATGTAGGTGTCTTTGTTTCCACAATAGTTTCAATTGTGATATTTTTAGGTCAAACCGTTCTTGTCTGTCAGTCATATAATGGAGGTCTATGGTCACCACCTCAAAGAGCATGCACAGAGAAGTCCAAATTAAACATGAGTTAATGACTCGTAAATGTAAGTACACATTGATGGCCTAAAGACACGAAACGAGCGGTTTGTGTGAGAAAACGAACAGTATTTATATCGTTTTTACCTCTTGTAACCACAGCCACAAAGCGCCGTGCCCTCAGATCACTTGATTACGAGGTAAAAACGATATAAATACGGTTCGTTTTCTCACACAAACCGCTCGTTTCGTGTCTTAGGCCATCAATGTGTACTTACATTTACGAATCATGTTTAATTCGGACTTCTCTGTGCATGCTCTTTGAGGTGGTGACCATAGACCTCCATTATATGACTGACAGACAAGAACGGTTTGACCTAAAAATATCACAATTGAAACTATTGTGGAAACAAAGACACCTACATCTTGGATGCCCTTGAGGTAAGATAAAACATACCAAAAATGAATTTCAAAGTGAACTATCCCTTTAATATATCGGCCAAATTTTCTTATCAAACCGATAACATATATCGGCCGATACAGATATAGATGTCATCAATTCTAAAAATCCAATATCCTGTTTTCACTCACTGATAACCTGTGTATCCCTGTAGGGAGGTGGACTGGTTCTCTCTGACCGCTGTGATCCTGCTGCTGTGCTTCGCCCCCTTCATCGTGTTTTTCTTCATCATGGCGTGTGATCAGTACCAGTGCTCCATCAGCCATCCGGTACTGGACCTCTACAACGGTGACGCCACCCTGCTCAGCATCTGGAACCGGGCCCCTTCCTTCACATGGGCCGCGGCCAAGATCTACGCCGTCTGGGTCACGTTCCAGGTGTGCAGAATCACAGAAGAATACAGAACAAAGAACATTATAGTGAGAAAGATGTGGACTTGAACTGTGAGGTTGGGTTGTCTCTACACTAGGTGGTGCTGTACATGTGCGTTCCAGATTTACTGCATAAGATCCTTCCAGGCTACGTTGGAGGAGTTCAGGACGGGGCCCGGACACCTGCAGGTAATCAAACACACATCATTCATTTATCAGAAATATTCATTAAAGGAGTAGTTCACTTTTAAAAAAAAACTTTTGCTGATAATTTACTCACCCCCATGTCATCCAAGATGTCCATGTCTTTCTTTCTTCAGGCGAAAAGAAATTAAGGTTTTTGATGAAAACAATACAGGATTTTCTCTATGTAATGCACTTTAATGGGAACCAAACGGCTCAAGGTCCAAATGAGAGTTTCAGTGCAAACTATTCAAAGGGCTTTAAACCCTTATTCATCGTCTGGAATCGTTTAAAGCCCTTTGAACAGTTACAGTTTGCACTGAAACTGTCTTTTGGACCTTGAACCGTTTGGTTCCCATTGAAGTCCATTATATGGAGAAAAATCCTGGAATGTTTTCATCAAAAACCTTAATTTCTTTTCGACTGAAGAAAGAAAGACATGGACATCTTGGATGACATGGGGGTGAGTAAATTATCAGCAAAAGTTTTTTTTTTTTTTTAAAGTGAACTACTCCTTTAAGTACATTACCACATCTTCCAAAAGCTAATCAATGGAGTAAGATTGTACAAAGGTATGGAATAATTCATATTTTAATTTTATAATTTTACTCTCCAAGGCTAAATATATTTGATTAAACATTTTAAAATATTTGTTTTCTAATTTAATATAGTTATTCCAGTGATCAAAGCTGAATTTTCAGCATCATTACTCCAGTCTTCAGTGTCACATGATCCTTCAGAAATCTTTTTTTTTTTTGTGGAAACTATAATACAAAATAACAGCATTTTTTTTTTTTTTTTTAAATAGACATCTTTTTCAACATATATGTTTATTGTCACTTGAATCATGAATTTATCTGTTGAATAAAAGTAATAAATACCGGGTTATTCTGGTTCCCACAAACTAAGATAGCGAGTAATATATATATATATATATATATATATATATATATATATATATATATATATATATATTGGCTCAGTTTTTTTTTGTCTTGAGTTGTTTTTTTTTTTCTTGTTTTTTTTGCCAAAAAACTAAATTGACATTTTTTTGATATTGCTTTTTGGTTGAGAAAATCTGATTCTGTGCCTGGATGAATGAACTGTACAGAAAATTTGACTGGACAATTTAAAGTAGTTGTATATATATATATAGTAGGTGTGTGTGTGTTTAAGATCTCACTTTCCCCAGACTTTTAAATGATAGTGTATTACAGATTCCACACAATATTAAGCATCAGAAACTGTTTTCAAGATTATAATAATCTGAAATATTTATTGAGCAGCAAATCCGAATGATTTCTGATGGATCATGTGACACTAAAGACTGCAGTGATGATGCTAAAAATATTGCTTTGATCACAGGAATAAATTACATTTGAAATTGTAATACTATTTCACAATATTATCATTTTTTCTGTATTTTTGATCAAATAAAAGAGCAGAAGAGACTTAATTATTCTCAATACTTCATTGATGTTGCTTTCCGTCTTATTGTCAGGTTTGATTAATAAGTACGAGGTCAACGGTCTGCAGTGCTGGGTAATCACTCATGTTTTGTGGGTGGCTAACGCTCAATACTTCCACTGGTTTTCACCAACCATCATCATTGACAACTGGATCCCTCTGTTATGGTGCACCAACATCCTCGGCTATGTCGTGTCCACTTTCGCTTTCATCAAGGCTTATCTGTTCCCCACCAACCCGGAGGACTGGTGAGAAAACACATTCTGATTATTTACTGCACATACAGTGGGCAACTAGTCTACACAGATCCTCAACAAATGAATCCATGTAAAATCATTTGAGATCTTTTATTATTGAAACCAAAAATAATACGCACGTTCTTTGTATTTGCTAGACATGGTTTAACGTATATATTCAGGGTTAATCTGCATCAATTAAATGATGACTAAAGGATTTAAAAATGTCTTTTAAAGTCTTAATTCCACAATCAGAGTAAAAGGCTTCAATTCATTAACTCATGGCATTAAATGATGCATGCACTGCAAAAAAAGTGAATATCTTCCTCAGTTTTCTCTTGTTTTCCAGTACAGAGATCTAAACATTCTACTGGAGAAGCAAAATTATTATGATCTCTTATTTTCTGAGACATTAAGACAAAATTAACTGAGTTTTGAATTTATTTTAATCATAAACTCACTTCATTTTGATCAATTTCACAGAAAACAAGACGACTTCTTACACTAAACCACTCTCCTTCTCCAGTAAATGCATCTTGATTTAATTTACGAAAAAAAAACTTTTGCTGATAATTTACTCACCCTCATGTCGTCCAAGATGTCCACTTCTTTCTTTCTTCAGTCGAAAAGAAATTAAGGTTTTTGATGAAAACATTCCAGCATTTTCTCCATATAATGGACTTGAATGGGAACCAAACGGTTCAAGGTCCAAAAGACAGTTTCTTTGCAAACTGCAAACTGTTCAAAGGGCTTTAAACGTTTCCAGACGATGAATAAGGGTCTTATCAAGCGAAATGATCGCTCATTTAAAAAATATATGTTTTATAAGCTCAAATGCTCATTTTGCTCTGTTCCGTGATGCCTATCCTGTTCGAACTCGTTCATCAAAATGAACGAATCTTTTTCCGAGTCGACTCGTTCATGAATGAACCAAATGACAAAAAACATTTGTTAAGACCATTTTTATCTTGGTGTCGTTTAAAGCCCTTTGAACAGTTTGCAGTTTGTAATTAAACTGTCTTTTGGACCCCATTGAAGTCCATGGAGAAAAATCCATTATATGTAGAAAAATCCTGGAATGTTTTCAATCAAAAACCTTAATTTCTTTTCGACTGAAGAAAGAAAGACATGGACATCTTGGATGACATGAGGGTGAGTAAATTATCAGCAAACGTTTTTTTTTTTCACTTTATGAATAATCAGATTCAGATTCACTTTATTAGCCAATTGTAGTATAAAACCACATTGGAAAAAATGTGCACGAAGTCTCTCAAGGTGCAATGTCACACGTAAAATGACATAACATAAAACAGACAAACTCAATAATAAAACACTGTACAATAAAATCCATAAAGGTATTTGGACTGGAAAACAATATCAATACTGCGGTTTCCCCCTCAACATTTACATTTAGAGCACATGGTCTGTTCCCTTGAATTTATTGCTTAGATTTTCTTTACTTGGTCTTTAGAAAGTCTTATATCTACCTTCATAACATCTACAGAAACCCTGATGTTTTTAGACTGGTCAGGCTGTAAAATTCACCTTCACACTAAATGGGCTTCGTGTTTGATCTGCAGTAAATTCACAGGCAACATCTTCTACAACTACATGATGGGAATCGAGTTCAACCCTCGTATAGGAGAATGGTTCGACTTCAAGCTTTTCTTCAATGGCCGGCCGGGTATCGTGGCGTGGACTCTGATTAACTTATCCTATGCTGCCAAACAGCAGGAGCTGTACGGTTACGTGACTAACTCCATGATCCTGGTCAATGTTTTGCAAGTGAGTCTTGGAGCCACTAGGTGGCACTGTAAAACAACTTAACTATTGCTCATACTTCACTGCAAAACCTACAACATGCATATAGTAAATGTTTCATAGTGCATTCATCTAGCTGGCTTATACTCCGCCCCTTCTATTTCTAAAAAAAAAAAATTAAATAAATAAAAAATGTTTGGATAATTAAAGTTGATTCAGAATAGTAAGTGTTACTCTCATGAACATTTCACACACACAAGTATACTAAAAAGGCCTTTTACCTGCTAAAAAGGTATAAACTATCAATCAGCATGTGATAGCTTGTGTGCAACAGGTTTTTCAGCAAAGTTTTGATCATTTAGAGGCCTTAAAATGTATATATCAAATATGATACAGGAGGCTATAGGGTTAAAACAAGGTTTATTGTTACATTAGTCAGCAAAAAAGTTTCTGTATTGTTTTATTTTTTTATGTTTAATCCATATTATTCCCATCACTAGGCCATCTATGTTTTGGACTTCTTCTGGAATGAAGCCTGGTACCTCAAGACTATAGACATCTGCCATGATCATTTCGGCTGGTACCTGGGCTGGGGAGACTGTGTGTGGCTCCCGTTCCTCTACACACTGCAGGTGTGTGTCAGCGCTTGACTTCTGTTGGTTGTGGATCTACAATATTGGATTCGCTATTTTATCGAGCTGACCAATTCTAAATACATTTAGGATCACAATTGACCGTTCGAAAAGTCTTCTTTCTTATTGGTTGTCACTCGCGAAAATCGCTTCTCATTTGCATAAAGTTGAAAATTCTCTCAACTTTTGTAGCTCGTCTCTTGTCGCTTGACACGCCCACATTCTGTCGCTCGTGTCACCAGATGTCGCCAGCGCTCCATTGAAATGAATGGGATCTTGTCACTTTGTCGCTGCGTTGTCACTTAACTCAACTGAACTATGAACTTTTATCCCAATACTCCTGTAATCATTTGTATTATTGTAACAGAAATAATGATCCTGTGTGGTTCAAAAGACTGTTCGTGAAGCTGTTTTATACCTATCAAGTGTGCCGCGCACAAGGCAAAACATTTCGATCGCCCCCTGGTGGCCAGCTGCATTATAGGGCATAAACTCAAGACGTCAACGGTTATTTCTAAAACATTTTGGCTTTATTTTCTACAGTGTAAGGATGTAGAGACACGTCGTCCATCTTTAATAGTCTATGACACCTATTCAGGACAACTGCTCTCTCTGGGTCGGCGGCGGCGCCAATGCAGATGTTCGCTGTGATCGAACACGTCAAGGTTTAATAGACATAGCTGAATAACTGTCATTTAGTGTTTGAGGCCCCGTCCACACTACTGCGTTTCCGTTTAAAAACGTAGACCTTTTGCTACATTTGCGTCCACACTAAAACGAAAAAACGGAGACCTAAAACGGAGAAGTTTAGAAACGCTGCAGCTCCGTTTTGCGTTTTGAATCTCCAGAGGGCGTTTAGTGAAGACGGGACATGCCCAGTGTTGGTGAATTGTCACGTGATCCGCGTTTTCAGTCGTTTTAATGTAGACGGAGATCATTTCTAATACGTAGATAAAACGATAGTGTGGACGGAGATCATATTCGTTTTAATTCTCCGTTTTTAAACGAAAACGTAGTAGTGTGGATGGGGCCTGAGCCGCGTTTAAAGTCTGTTTAGAGAGAACGGTGTCATCTTAGCGGCCCCTAATTTTATACCAAATGATCATTTCGACGGAAGTGAATCAATCAAAACTAACTTTAGCTGGAAAGTTATTAAACTAAACCAATCTCTGGTACCTTCAATTATGTTTATCTCTGTAAAGTGCTATATAAACGAGGATGACTTGAATCGCCAACGCCATATTGTAACGATTAATCGTGTAGCTCTAATTTTTAAGTTGATCCTTCACCTCATACGCAGCTTCACTGATTTCAATTGGAGAGTAATGCTGTTTATGACATGTAGATCTTGATTCATGTTATTGTTTTTTAGGGTCTTTACCTGGTCTACAACCCTATCCAGCTTTCTACAGCCCACGCCACAGGCGTCCTAATCCTGGGTCTGGTGGGCTACTACATCTTCCGCTCAACCAACCACCAGAAAGACCTTTTCCGTCGCACCGAGGGTAACTGCAAAATCTGGGGGAAGAAGCCCACCTTCGTGGAGTGTTCGTACCGATCGGCCGACGGCGGCCTCCACAAGAGCAAACTGATGACCTCAGGGTTTTGGGGAGTGGCTCGCCACATGAACTACACGGGCGACCTGATGGGCTCGCTGGCGTATTGCATGGCCTGTGGTGGAGGTCACTTACTGCCCTATTTTTACATCGTCTACATGACCATCCTACTAGTACACCGCTGCATTCGCGATGAGCACCGCTGTGGAAACAAGTACGGCAAGGACTGGGAGCGCTACACCAGTGCTGTGCCCTACCGTTTGCTGCCGAACATCTTCTAGTGCGGCCCACCATATCCCAGATCGTTTTTCAGCCACGTACTGGAAAGCACTTTGAATAGTTATTTTCTGTGGCTCTTTGTACTTATTTGTTAACAGCTAGCTCTTTTGTGGGAGTGTGCGTGGAAGGTTTTACAAAGATTTTTAGTCGGTGAGTGAGTGCGAGCGTATGAATATATCAGTACAAGATTATCAAAGTGACACTATACATTACAGAATGACACTAAAACTCAATCTTTTTTTCAGAAGACTCACTGTAATATCTCATTATTGTTCTGGATGTTAATAGGCCTTTGTCACACTTCCTACTAGGGATACAGAACTTCCAGTCAACAGTATTTCGCGATAAGGATTTAGATTATCGGCCCTAATGTCTAAAATATCATCTGAGGTAGACTGACCACAAGCTATGAGGTTGTGAAACGAAGGTTTTTGCTCCTGTTGAAGCTATACGTTTGTATGAAATCAAGCTTATATGTTTTATCCGCGATCTTATGGGAAAAAAAACTACATTACCCACAATTCTAAGCGTAGTAGCAACGTCTGCTGATTGGTCCAACTCGCTGTTCCCATAGAAACGTTTACCTTACTGGCGAACGGCTACCCGCAGCTGTTGTTGTAGTGTGAGTGTCCCGCGTTGCTCTGCATCAGGACTTAGACAGCCATACCTCAGCTTTCACGCGTTCCCACTTGAGAGTTTTCATTTACCATCCGAACCACATCGTCATATGTGTGACTTCAGGCAGGTTGCGGAGAGATTTGGTCCAGCGGTATCCATCGGACTCCATCATTGTAAAAAGCTAACCGGAAGAGGCGTATCCCTACTAAAAGACGTGTCGTCAAATTTTTCGTGACATAGGCCTATATGTTAGATAAGTCCAGAAATGCTCCGACTGCAGATTATTCTATTCATATTTTTCTACCAACCAAACTACTGAAATAAAAGTTTCTCACTTTGTCTTTGTTTTCCTGGTAAAAACCTTTTATTAAAAAGGTGGAAATCGTTAAAAAAAGAAGAAGAAGAAAACAGTGCAAGTAAAACGCTTGTGATAAAGCATTAAAAAGGTGTTCAATAACACTTACTTCACTAAACTATGTTTAATGCATTAATTACGCCTTTTAATGCATTTTATGGTCTCATTAATAATTGTAACCACACTTCATCCATTCATTGAACACACCTTTTGAAAGTATAATGCACTAAAACACATGACAAACAACACATTTCTGATGTACCAACAAATCTGCAATATATTATAATGAATTTTAGCTTTGGACATAATTATTTATAAAAAAATATAATGCATTATAAAGTACATTATGAATACCTGTAATTCATTATGCATAAAGGCATTTGTGGGTCGCTTTGGATAAAAGCTTCTGTTAAGTGATTAATCATTAAATATAAATTTAAGAAAAGTGTTACCAAAAGTTCAAATTCATTCAGTATTAATTGTTTTAATTATTAATTGAACAGTAATAAAATTAGTACTAAATGTTCATATTATTTGTTGCATAAAAAAATGTAATAAGTGAAACGGTGTTAATGCACACATCCTCAGTTTAAGTTAAAGTATGATGATCCGAGATCTTCATTTAGCACAGCAACAAGCCTGACACAAGAACACACACACAGTCACAAACATTTAGTTTATCCTGCATTTAAAAATACACTTGAAACAGGTACACATTAATAATATTATATAACACTGAAACTTTCTCAAGCAAATGATTGATTTTGATCGCTGAACCATGAGCTTGGTCATTCATGGATGGCCGGCTAATATCCCAAACACATCTGCTCTGGAAAAAAAAAAACAGACCAAGATTCATAAATGCACAATACACTCTCTCCTATGGAATACACACTCATAATACTACACTTGACGGATTGGATCATGAATCTCTATATTATCGAAAACATCGAACTCCATAAATATCTGAATATATGTGCGACAAGAAATCACCTGCAAATATCAAAATACTGACATGTAGCCACTAGTAATGTTGCTTTGCTCACATGATAAGATTCTTCACACTGACTATAACAGACATAAGCATGTTATGGTAATGGGATTTGCATTGATTCCCCACTTTATCTTTCTTACAAAGCTAATACGGAACAGTAGAGAAGGCGAAATGGCTGTTCAGAGGGTGATGAATGGATGAATGGGTGTCAGAGAGAAGGGAAATACATCTTCAATTGTTTTCAATGGGAGCGCCGCGTTTTTTAAACGTACCGAGGCGCTGAGCGTTTTTTTCACGCTGAAGCGCCGAGCGCCCAGCGTTTTTACTAGTCGCTGGGAGTTGAAAAATGTTCAACTTTGGATAAAACGCAGCGCTCATCACTGTCACTTTTTACCCAGCCGTCCAATCACAGTGGAGGAGGGGCGGGACTAAACCACACCGAACCAACTGTCACAACATTCTTTCTGTACAACGACATCAACCAACAGAGCAAACCGAACAAAATGGATGAAAAATTCATTTTAGTATGAAACAAATAGGCTCTATGCACAACTTACTTCCGCATTCTGTAAAACAGATCGCATCGCTTCCGGTTCAGGTTGTTTGTATGTGCTTAATGACATTTTTTGTGGTTTTACTTAAGATAACTTAAAAGGATCGAGCAAAGATTAGCATCACCAATGTCCCTCACATGTGCAGATTGATATTTAAACGTTTTATATTTTTCTTATTCACATAAACATTTAGATATGGAATAAAACACCAATAACAAAGTGAACTAGGTACCCAGATAGCAAACCGACATTGAATCAACGTGGAAAGATGACATCGAAACAACGTTATTCTGACATTGTTTTGCTCATCGAATTAACGTTGAACTAACGTCAGACGCGTCGTTTTTCAAAACTAACGGAAAATCAACTTGAAATCAACGTTGTTTCAACGTTAGGAAAGCAAACCAATTTTCGATTTTCATTTAGCTTTGAAGAATGCCGCGTCTGACGTTGGTTCAACGTTAATTCGATGAGCAAATCAACGTCGTTTCCACGTTGATTCAATGTCAGTTTGCTGTCTGGGTAGGTTAGCGGATTACCTTAAAAATCCATAGATAGGCCTAGTCAGTTCTCACGGCCATTAAAGCTACACTGTGTGATTTTTGATCACCCCAAAAAAGTTTTGCATGGTCAAGTATTACAAAAACAAATTTCAGAAGATTTAGAAACCTTGTATTTATCTGGAATTTGCAGACATTTTCTGATATATGAGTGACCAATGAGAATGCAGTCCCTTCAACACTACTTTATTTCCTTGTTTTTATCTGGCATACAAGATACAACGAGAAAAGGTTATATCCGTTAGAAAGCAAATAAAGAAAGGAAGAAATGAGGGTTGGGTTTTTGGTGCGTGGGAGTTTACACAACCTTGTTAGTGGTTTGGCTTATTTTCAGAGAGAAATTAAAGAGTGAATCGATCAATGAATGGTTTCGTGTACATGCTCTGGAGATTTTCCCACAAAGATACAGTGTGAGAGAAGGCATTGTTGGCTATATTTGGTTTTAGGTGACCTTGAGGTCACCTAAAATCCCCTTCATCTCCACGTTATATGTGACAATGCTTTACTCATAGTCTGACAAGTGGCGTTCAGACGCTCCCACTCTTCCATCATGCTGTGTCCTCCCTCTCTCTATGCTTTTGTCAGGTGTGTCTATCTCTTGAGGGATGATCAGAAAGGGCAGACTAAACAAACCTGACACCACGACCCTAAAGGTCACCAGACTGCTCCTCTAAGACTCCACCCTGTGTTAAACAATACCGCACACACGAGAAAGAGACGCGACAGGCCTCGTGGACAGTCGAAATCATTCACTATTCCCTACATTACTCCACTATTGTAGTTTACCTGAGGGAGTGAATCAAAACGAGTGACACTAAGTGCGTCTTTTGTTTAATAATCATTTAAATCTTAACAAACTGGCAGCTCCAGTAGTGAACTTTAGCGTGTATAAACCTTTTAAAACTATTCAATAATCAATCAAAAAGGATTTTTTTTTTACCTGTATGTTATTACGTTGTAGCCACATTGGACCAGCGGTTTGGAAAATGGATAGATGATTAATCTTCCGGTGAGATGCGGGAAGTGCATCATGGGTATTCTCTAGCCATTGAGCGTACATCAGTTGTACACTCGTTATTGCGGTGCATTGTCACTCAATAACGTCCACTGGTTTTGGACACCATAAAAATGTCTGTTCCCTCATATAATGCCCGATTTAGGGCTATAGGGAGTGATTTTGGACACAGCATAATTGTGAAATGTCTAGACAGCTAGATTAAATATAGCAAAGTCTGTCATCGTTTCAGAAAATGGACACTTCTAATCAAATTGTTAGATTCTTCATCAAAGACCAAATTGTCCAACCCATGCAGGCTCATTGGAAATGCAACATTTCTGCAAAAGGATACTTTGCTTCTTGCATGTTTCGCAACACTTTCAAAGTGAAATGTCCAGTGAGATCTGCTATTCAGTTTTATCAAAAACAGATAAACGTGAATCTGGCAGGTTGAACCACCTACATTAAACCCTTCCCTAAATGTTAGCAAAAGAAAACATGAGATGAAAACACATTTGTGGAAGTAACCATGCCATAATCATTTGCTTCTACAAGCCTCCCAGCAGCAACATAGTGTCGGCCTAGATCCGGCTCCCATCTGGTACATGTGGATTCCACACGGCCCAGAAGTGGGCCTGATCCCGGCCGACACTATGTAGATGTCTCTTTAATCATGACTCGTCTTGGACAATCGCTCCACATCTTAAGTGTGTGCTGTATCAGGTGAGATACTGAGCAAAAAAATTGCTATACAAGGTTATGTGATGCGATTGCGAACATCAAAATATATTCGATTACAAATCATGCATTATGGTAAAAGTGTTTTAAGGACATAACAAGGAATGCAAGGAATAAAATAGAAATATGCCTATTAATTGATCTGATCCTGTAATCATGAAGTTGTTGGTGTTTTATTGCCTCTAGTGTTTCAGCTGGAAACCACATTGAACTGAATGTATAGATACTTTTTTTTTGGAATTTAGGTAGATAGTCGTTTTCCAATGAGCCCATGTTGCATTTATCTGAGCTTAAAGGATAATTCCGGTATTTAACACCTTGAGTCTATTTTGTAGTTTGTTTTGAATGAAATAGAGTGGTGGACTTTTGACAATGGGTCCTGTCTCTCGACTTTTTGACTTTTTTAGAATCGCCTGTGACAGCGTTAGACTGGCTGTCTATGGGCATGCACAAACATGTCCATAAAACAACCCTTAACGTTCATTTTCAAAACTGCAACTCACCGAGTGGTTGGTGGTGTTCGTTGATGATTAAAAACAAATATATCGGCGCTATGTATGCTTTCAATCCGTGTTGTTTGCTATAGTGGAACTATTTATTCAGACACCTCACAACCGCATATAAACTTCCGCTCGATATTTGAGTCTGAAGCGTTAGCACACTCCCGACCACTTGATGGCGACAACCAGGACGCTGTACGTAACACGGTGTCTAGTGTAACGGAGGCCAGCTAGTAGTTGCTGTGCGAGTAAACCTCACTCCCCGATCTCAATAGGCGCTCTAGCGACAGACGCTAGAGGCTGCAGTCTTTAGCCTCCTTGTTAGAGCGCCCGACTCTCATGCCGGAGACCCGGGTTCGAGGCCCGGTCGGAGCGGGTCGAGTTGGACCCGGGTGTAAGGGGTTACATTGGTGCCGTGACCCGGATGAGAGTGAGGTTTAGGGGGGTGAGTGTAACGGAGGCCAGCTAGTAGTTGCTGTGCGAGTAAACCTCACTCCCCGATCTCAATAGGCGCTCTAGCGACAGACGCTAGAGGCTGCAGTCTTTAGCCTCCTTGTTAGAGCGCCCGACTCTCACGCCGGAGACCCGGGTTCGAGGCCCGCTCGGAGCGGGGCGAGTAGGACCCGGGTGTGAGGGGTTAC